CTAAGTTCTATTTTCTTTACTAATTTCGTCTTCTTTTCGTTTGTATTTTGGCATTCTACGACATTGGTATTAGTTTTTATTAATTTTTTTTGTAACTTATGGTATATTTTTGCTCATTTTGCAACTGTTTTGTACGATTTACAGTATGGTTGAAAACTTTTTTTTTTTTGAAACGGCCGAAAATTCATGCGCGCGTGGATGTCATCCATATAATCAAATCAACATGGCCTTAGTGCGCTGGAAGTTAATTTGATTGCTTTCCACAAAATGACACAGGAAAATTCCCACAGGGAATTATCGTGAAATACGAAACGAACAAAAAAAATTACAAAACCAAATGATGGCAACTTGATGTACTGCCAATATGGATTTTCTAAACCCAGATTCGACCATGATAAAAATGTACAGATGTACCTAATCCTTCATTTCAAAGTAAAGTAAAATAAAAATGAAATATTGCCCCCCAAAAAGAGTTTTGTTCCATCCAACGCACAGTGCAGACGTGGCGATTTTTGTCGCCCACATAGGCTATATGAGCGCCAAAAAAAAGAAGAGAGTACAACCTCCGAATGTAGATCTATTTTTGCTTGTCCATTAGGCCATGTTGATTTGATTATATGGATGACATCCTCCGGGAGACCCAAAACTGATGCGAGCGTGCGAATAAAAAAAAGTTTTGCAAAAAAAAGTTGTTTTCATTATGAAATCTACGTGGTCATGAGGGTTGAACAAATGGCACAGAATATGGTTTGGCGAATAATCTAATCCTCAAGTTCATTTCCTTACAATTTCGTCTTTTTTCGTTTGATTTTGGCATTCTACGACATTGGTATAGTTTTTACTTATTTTTTGTAACTTACGGTATATTTTTGCTCATTTTGCAACTGTTTTGTACGATTTACAGTATGGTTGAAAACTTTTTTTTTTGGAAACGGCCGAAAATTCATGCGCGCGCGGATGTCATCCATATAATCAAATCAACATTGCCTTACGAACAAAAATTGTAATTTTTAAATCTCATATCACGTTTAATTTTACTCCCAGGACGTTCCGTATCATGGACGATGATGGCAACCGTAGTCTGAGTTTTGAGGAGTTTCAGGAGGGTTGTGCAGACTACGGGCTAACTCTCACCGCAGAAGAGTTAAGGGAGATTTTCACCACTTTCGACACAGACGGCGGCGGTACCCTCCACTTCGATGAGTTTCTCAAAGGCATTCGGGTGAGTGCTTCAGTTGTCTACAGTACTAGCAGACGGCACGGCTACGTATGGATTTTGCATTAGCTATGCGTGACTGTACATATGCGTGATAGATAGAATAAAGAAATACCACACAAGTAAGACCTCTAGCAGATGAATTTGGATTTAAGATAGTGTATTTCAACATAGTGCATCGGACCATGATGCCCGCGGATGATTGATTGATAGTGTATTTTGCGTGGTTTTTTTTTTTTGGCATTGAGTACGCAATTTTTGTGTTTCCTTTCTTTTACTCTTAGGCCACACCGATTTAATTTTATGGATGACATCCTCTGAAGACCCCCAAACTAGTGCGCGCGGGCGCCGGATAAAAAAAATTCGGCCAAAAATAAAAATGCTACTAAACCATAGGAATACAATGCTGGTATTGTGAATTCGCGTCAGTACTTAGCGACGTATATGGCAAGCCGGCACATGCTGGATTTTTGCAGCATTTATGAATCGGTACTGTACTTAATGTACTGAGTTCTTGAGTCGTGGAGCTTCGAATTCGATAGCCTGGGCGCTCGGCTTTGTCGCCGACTACCATGGACTACCCAGTCCTAGAGCCTCGGTGGAGGTGATTTTTTTTTTTAGGGCGACAGTCGAAAATCAATGCGCGCGTGGATGTCATCCATAAAATTAAGTCGGTGTGGCCTTACGGGATGTATAACAAGCAAAAAAGAAACACGGTTAAAACACTGACCTGGATCCCACATCTGCTTGGAGATCATATACTAGTAGATATAATGGTTTGTCTGAAATGTACTTGTTTCCAGTCCAACATGTCCGAGGGAAGACAAGGCATCGTCAAGAAGGCATTTGAGAAGGCTGACAAGTCTGGAGACGGCGTCATCACACCCGCTGACATGAAGGGAGTGTACAACGCCCGGCAACATCCCAAGTACAAGAACGGGGAGTGGACGGAGAAGGAGTGTTTTGAGGAGTTTCTCAAAACTTTCGAGCCCGACGCGTCCAAGAGAGATGGACGTGTAAGTCAATGTTACCATTTCAAGTCATAGTAGAGCACCTCCTGCATGGAGTTTTTAATGGACCGACCTATAGAAATCTGAATCTTGTTTAATTTTAATCGTCAATGCGTTTAATGTGTAGCCTGGGCACCACCCTACTTGTATGCCAGGGCTCCCACACTATACTTGTTAGGGAAGCGAGTGTGGAAGCCCCGGCATACAAGTGGGATGGTACCCAGGCTATTTAATGTGTATTTCTTTCAAGTTTTTAATATGTAACACTTGTGTAATTCAGCCAAAACTGGCTGCCAGTCAATGTGAATAAACAGTGTTCGTATTCAGTATTCAGGGGCTCTACAAAGAATCTAAAGCACGTGCATATAAACCAATATTAAAGGGAGTCTCGGGCTGTACAGAAGGAACAAAATCATCTTAACTATTTCCGCAATTTACCCAACAAATGCTAAGCATAGCTTCCCACTGAAACATCTAAATTACAGGCTATCACTCAAGAAGAGTTTTTCTGTTATTATTTCTGTTAGGCCACAGCAAGTAATTTTTATGGATGGCGTCAGCGCGCGCATTAATTTTCGTCCGATTTTGGGGAAAAAAAACAAGAAATTTGGTTGCACTCTGACAGTGATTAACATGCCGAAAATGGGCAAGGATTTCTTTTCCCATGCCGGAAGGTGAACGGCAGATAAATTTGAGCAGAAGAGACAAGAAAAGGCTCTGCATATTAATGTTTTGTCTTTTACTTTGATGCAGTGATTTATTTCATTCCTTTTTATATGTGATGCTGGCTGTGTATATGTGATGTTCCCACTGAATCAAAACCATTCGTACAGTGGTTGAAACCTTTTATTTTTCAAGGTTGTTTCAGTGCGAGATGGATGTTGTAATAGTTAGGTATCATTTCTTGTTTGACAAGGTTTATGATATCAAAATATGAAAATGTAGGAATCTTGTTTTTTGGCCCGCCTTCTTTTTTTCGCCCTATCGCATTAGATTTGGATTCTGCGGAGGATGTCATTTATAAAATTTACTTGCTGCGGCCTTGTCAGATAAAATGCCTTTAGTTTAAGGTAGGGCCAGGGGATGGCTGAGCACTTCTAGGGGTGTCTTAAAAATACTACTTTGTGATATATATGGCTCTTGATTTTTTTCTACAAGTACCTTGGTACAATATGATAATCTATGCAAAATTTCATGACGTCATGATGACGTAATCAAAAATTACAGGCCTCGCCCCTTTTTTTAAAAAGTTGTTCCCACTCCCTAACGATTGAATGTACATCGCTAATATTTTGATGAAGGATAGATAATAATGATTTAGTTCAACGTACGGCAGCATTTTAAGATATTTTTTGAAATTTATTTTTGTCGATACGCCCCCCTCCCCCTACAGGTCACACAGGAGGAGTTCATGAACTACTACTGCGGCATCAGCGCTTCTATTGACAACGACGCGTACTTCGACCTCATGATGCGGAACTCCTGGAAGCTTTGAGGTCTCTGCCCGACATCTGGACGTTCATCTGTGTTGGTGGTGGTTAAACTCGTAACCAGCTGTGCTGCCTCTGTACTGTAGCTTTCATAATCATCGGTTGTCGTCATGTGTCCATTAGGTCACGTGCCCATTAGGTCACGTGTCCTATAGTGATTGCGGGTCATTTAACCCGATGAAGGCTGCAGTACGGACAACAGTTTAGCTGTTTGTTATAGTTCGATTTTACATAGCCTTGTCATCCAACCAGTGCCCTTTATATGTTATATGTTGCCAAACATACAACATCAGTATAAAAATTCATATTCGTAAAAAGACGAATAAGTCTATGACAATAACAGATACGGTCATTATGGTTAGATTATTCGTGATATGCTGATAAAATAGTTTTGCTATAGATGTGTTAGGGTGTAACTCCAATTGGTATAGCTGACTAGTACATGTATTAGAAACTGAAGTTTAGGAACAAATACGGACGTTAAATCTGTACATTGTTTTGTCGTAGTTGCAATTTTGATGATGTTGCTGATGTATTTTAGTCAGTGAAATTTTAAACAATTTGCTGTAAACGCATTGATCTCAAAAGCTTTCCTTTTAAACGGCATGTAACACTTAGACAATGTTATATCAGTAGGATAACATGTTTATATGCAGTTGTCAATTAAATGCCTGAGCTAATAAGGGGGAGAGAAACGGGCAAATAGTACTTAGTATTGTATAAGCTGACCAACTTCCGAAGTCTTTCGTATTGACATGTGTATATTCGTTTGCACTATTACTGCTTCTTGAACACGTTTTATTTCCAGACTTCTTTGTGTCGATGTGTGTTTTTCTTGTTCGTTACTGCTAGGGTTATGGGACAGAAATTTTTTAGTCGGCGTTTAAATGCAAGTACAAGTCAACATCAACCGAATCAAAGCTATCGAGTCGAAAGAATTAATTTCACAAAAGTTCTATACATATTTGTGTGAATGTAATACGTGCTGGACGACACGATATCGGCGTCTTGTCATGGAATGCTGCCGTTATTTATTTTGCCGCTAAGGGGCGTTTTTGATCCATGGCGAGTTCAACACCAAGTGAAAGCCTGTTGTGCAGACTTTCTAGCTGGTATTGTTTGTTTCTACAAGCCATGATAGGCTCGGTTTTCGGGGGAGGGGCTGTATCCACGCGAACCGAATCCGCCCGCACTCATAGAAACAAATGACCACGCACTAGAAGGTCTGTCAGAAACTGCTGCTTCTATTGCTGCAGAGATTTGTTTGGGCGCTACGGGGCGTTTTTAATCCATGACAATTTTAACAATAGGTGTCATAAATTACTGTTCAAGATTTTTTTTTTTTTTTTTTGCCGCAACGGAGCGGTTCTTATTCAAGGCAATGTCAATACCAGGTGCCAGAAACTGTCAGATTCCCTACGCATTTTCCTATATGAGGGTCTGCATGGGGGGGGGGGTCCTGGCAACGGTTAACGGTAAATTCAGGACGGCCGGCAACGCTTAACGGTAAATTGATAGGCTTTTTTTTCGAGCTGCACTGGGCTTGGTATCCTCGCTTTGAATTCAGGATGACAAAAAACGTTTTACGTTGAATTAAAACGACCAATAACGCTTCACGATGAAACGCTTAACGTTGAATTAGAGCGAGTCGGCAACGATTAACGGTGAATTAATTATAAGATAGCCCATAACGGTTAACGAAAAAGGGCATGCAGGCCCTCCTATATGGCAATTGATGCGATTTGACCGGATATATGTAGCAGAAATATAGAAGCAATAGAAGAATTCTTTTATCTTCTGGTGATAAAAGAAGACGTTTCTACCAATCCCTATCACATGTGGTGTGCTCTGTAGGATCTTACATGTACATCGACACCTAACGTCTTATCTGTGTGTCAAAGAGTACTACACTGTAGTCGCACTGGGATTGCTCTTTACTAATTGACTGTACTTCTACAGTCTGTAGTGTAATTCAGCTGTGTGATACCTATCCTGTTTCCGGCTGGAAATGATGATAGAGAACATATTTTTCTGTTCTTCACAATTATTCCTTGTTTATCTATTTGCATATCTCGAAATATACTATTACTCGCCCGCTCAGAATTCTCGGATATCTTTTCCTTATCTCTCTCGCCGGGCGGTTTAGACCAAAGTACCCGTAAACACTTCCAGGAGTTGTACGCAGACAAAAAACAGATGTCCCGAGTTTGGATGTTTGACAGGGGAAAGAACCTGAACGTCTAATTGGCAAATTGGGTCGAGGGTCACACAGCAGAACTTTAGGAGAGCTTTATAGCTAAAACTGGGATTATTGTGTCGTCTTACTGTCGGCTGTGGATATGGAAGGATGCCTACTACTACTGTCGGCTGTGGGCCGCTGAGAGCGCAAACATTACGAAGTGTGTTGATAGAGTGTACATGTGGCCCTGCCTAGTGCTCTAAAGTGTCTAACATGTCTAATAGGTGACATAGGTCAACATGCCTGCAGCTCTATGATGTATTGTACTTTTTCAGAGTTGCAGCTGTTCATTTAGGGCTATCCCATATCTGAATTTGGAGGTCGACTGACATTAATATTTTCCATTCACACACCCAGTGTTTCAGTGTTACAATCCTACATATTTAAGTAATACATGACGTAAATGGAAGTAGAGAAAGGGTAAACACGATTTCGGAAATACCCAAACATTGCCGGACGGTAGTCGACCCGGATACTACACACGAAGTAGAGCACATGTACACACACGCGCCCCGGCCCGCTATGTATACACCGTCTTTCTTTGTCGTATTCCATGGCCATGCCCAGCCATACCACATGTACCAGGTAGTCAGGTAGTTGGCAAGCAAACGTAGACAAGGTTTTGAGATAAGAAGGCCACGTGACTCCTCACACACCCGCGCGTTAGACCGGCTAGGACCGGCTGTTTGCTTTTATTTCACAACACAGGGGAGCCTCGGTACAGCCTGTCACGTCCGTACTCTCTGCGTTTAGTTGGATATTTCCTCTTGTTTAAACCATGGATGTCGAAGCCAAGGGTCGAACATCGTCGGGGAACGAGTCCTACCCGGACAGCGACCCTCCCAGCTACCACTCGGCGGAAAGCACCGAGACCTTCGCCCGCAAGACGCTGAGGTTCCTCCGGCAGAATGCCCTCCTCCTGCTGACGATCGTCGCCGTGTGCCTGGGCGTGCTGCTCGGCTTCACCTGCGCTCCTCACGTCGGGGAAGGTGACGTCAAGTACATCTCCTTCCCGGGTACCCTTCTGATGAGGATGCTGAAGATGCTGATTTTGCCGCTCATCGTCTCGTCTCTGATTTCTGGCGTCGCTTCGCTCGACTCCAAAACAAGCGGGAAGCTTGGTGGGAGGTGAGCTTTCTTTTGTGTTTTCTTATTTACCTTCATTCGTTGTAAATTATACCGTTTTTATTATTAATATACGTGTGTTTTAGCAATGATATCAAACCATCCACTGTCATACTTTCGGAATAGTTTCCACAACCTTGTCACTAACACTACTTAAATCACTAACTCTAATGCCCTGCTCGGTCCCAAGTTGAGAACGACCCCCTGCCCTCTTGAGTCGCCTGGAGACTTCGAGGTGTCCCGAAACAATTTACGATGACATGGCGATGGTAAGAGGTTCACTGAGGGGGTGTACTGTACATAAATACGAACCAGGCTTGGCAATACTAGTGAACTTAGAATCCTAATACGTCGATAAGTTTAGACATCCAGGTACATAATTTGCTAACAAATATACAAATCATCTTGCCTGGGTTCCATCCGATTTGTAACGGCTACCCCGAAATTATCAGTATCTATCAAGCAACCTATATTAACTTTCAAGCCCTCCCCCAACCATTTTTAGTGATGGACTAATCCTAAACCAGACGACACACGCGCGCAAGAAACTTTGACACTGACACGTAGACAAACGCACTGCGACCTCTGTCATTGTCAATTTACGTAGCTTACAACCTCAACCTGAAGTTCCCGCCGGCTTTTGGCATTGAGACTGTTTGTGCCACGTCCGCCTGACTTAGAACAGAACACAGTACTACAAACGTGTCTACTACACTCCATGTGGTTGTTGGAAAATAGCACATTTGGCCAAATAGATTGAATAATTTATCGGAGGAGTCAGCCGGCCATAGGCCGGACACGTAGTAGCCTCTACCAGGCACCGCGGATCGCTGGAAAAATAGTAGAAATTGGCCGAAATAAAGGGATAGTATACCAGAGAAGATCTAAGGCCATAGAAGCTCCAATTTGCGACCCACGGGTCCGTGGGTTTCGGCTCTACTATTTTTCCAGCGATCCGCGGTGCCTGGTAGAGGCTAGACACGTAGGACTACTAATACACTTTGCAAGTGCCACAGAACAGAAAGCTTCCCAGCGGGCCCTTTTCTCCCAGGAATGGCCAGACATTTGCTTCCAATTTAGTCCATCAGTCACCTCTGCTTTGACTTACGGCCACCCGCTGAACCTATGCACGGGCCAGATGCCTTCACGTTCTCTACTTCACACACCCCGCCCCCTGCACCCCGATGGTACTCGTGCATCAAATTGTGTTTGGACTACTAGAAGATAGAAGAGGTGCCCCGGTCAAGTTATATATGTCCCACAAACATTCTATATGGGATATATATACGTCTCATATAGTAGTTGTCAGTTGTCCATTCACGAGCAACTAGTGTAGACCCGTCGACGTCATCGATGCGTTGTCAAAGACCGTACGATTGGTCTTTTATAGTGGGAAATAAACCCAATAGAATTGAGTGTGTTATTCTGATGGAAAAGGGATAGCTGTAGTGTTAACACTGTTACGTTATATCCCTATATGGCAGTACTATATGAAGGACGCGACCCTCAGACTGACGCTCAGCGTGTAGAACACTTGTGAGGATTTCACGCCTTCTAGGCTCATGATAACAACAATATCTGAAACGGATTCGATACACTTTTATCTGTGTCTAAAAAAGCTGTGCCAATGTGCGTGCATCACACAGTGTTCTACGATCCACTGGAACCAGAAAACATTTAGAGAAGCAGAAAGAGATAAAGAGATACTAGTGTGCTGTATCTGACAGAGATGCGCTCAGAGCCTGACCAGAAAGAGTAGGATTTTCTACATCTAGATCTACTAACTTGGAGATAACATTCTTCGCCCATTTAATTCTGTCTTGGACTTCAAAGATGAATATCTACTCCTCTTTTTCAATCAGTGACAAAAGTGACCCATTTGTAGACTGATGAGTTGATTGATGGAGAGTTCTACGATCCACTGGAACCAGAAAACATTTAGAGAAGAGCAGAAAGAGATACTAGTGTGCTGCTAGAATGACAGCCCTGACGGTAGCCCCTGTGTACCGACAAGTGGTGTGTAGGTATGTCCCCATGGACAGCTCGACAACAGTAGAAGACAGATGGGTTGACACATCTGTGGGAGGAGTATCATATTCACCCGGGGGCGAACGGACTGATTTATTTACCGCTCAACGCCCCAGGAGGACAATCGTTTCGTGAAATGATCGGGCTTTAAAATTTGTGTTTCGGTATCATGTTATGATAGATATCTTTCTGTTCTCGTGTCATTTTGCACGGGCGCATATCACGCCGTATACTTAGTAGCCGGAAAGTATTATGGAACGAAAAGTATGATATAAAAGACAACAAAGCACAAAAAATTAAACTTGAAAAAAATAACAAGGAGAACTATTTGCGTGTAATATTGATATAAATTGTTGATTTTTCGTTAATCGAAACAGCCCGGCCGGGCCCCGGTTTGGAAATGTGATCTCAGCATAGCATAGCAGAGCAGAGCAGAGTAGAATCTAGGGTCGGGTAGGACGTCCGTCTGGTTAGAGTACATGTGCCCTATTTATGACTGAATTGGGCAGCGATATACGTATAAACACAGAGTCTAGTGTTATGAGTTTTTATTGTACGCCATATAGCCCACAAATTAGTGACCCGACCAGAGCGTGTGTAAACAATACAGGTGCTTACTACACAAGGAAATTGCGGTGCTATATATTTGCTGTGCTTTCGTGGTCCGGATCCAGTGAGTCATATACCAGTGGTGTTTGACTCAGGTGCCACACAGCCATTAAAGACCCACCCCCATAGACAAACACAACTCAGCATTGAATTCTTTATCCTAACGGAAACTTTACGTCTATCGGACGATTGATTGATTGTTTGACAGTATTTTCCCGCCATTTCTCGGGCTTTAATAGTAGTCAGTACTTGTGTACCCCGAGGTAGAAGATAAAACCGTCTTTAATACGCCAAACACGTTGCCAATAAGTAGAAAGCCTTGATTCCGAAATCCTGGCGAAAATTTCTTGGCTGTCGTTTGATACTGTTTTCGGGCTTGGTAATGGCAGTGTAGCTCGAGCCGCTAGCAGTTAGCCTGGTATCCAGTCTGATCGTGGTCGGGGCCGTAAGAGCTCGGGGCCGTAAGAGCTCGGGCCCGCCCGCCTCACATAGGTTTCCCGGTGTGTATTTCACGAGAGATTAATTAGCCCTCCACGAACCTAAAAATCCCCAAGCATATTGTCTCTGATTAGCGTAACACTCCTACCGGGACGGTCTGTTGCACTGGGCGGGGGAAGCTCGTAGAGCCCCCGAAGACACAACCTGCCTGAACACCCCAATACCCCCAATCACGATCAGACTGGATTCCAGGCTACTAGCAGTTAGCCTGGGTGCCATCCTATTTGTATGAATGAACTTTATTGCTCAACAATCGTACAAGGTACAATGTGTGACAGTAATACAACAATACTACAAAACTTAACTTACTATAAACTACTATCTAAACAGTATTTGAGTTTTACCATATGGTCATGTATTGATGATATGTTCTCGCTTATGGAATAAAGTGTACAGAAATTGGCCTACGTAAGCAGATATGGTAGTTGGACATGGCAATAATTGGTAGTTGGACATGACAATAATAACTAGAAAGGCCAATATTTGCTTTGGAGCAAATACAGCGATGGGTTCACCACATTTTACGACATGGCAGGGAAAGAATGGGAAACACAAGGGAAAACAATGATTTACATTGATATAACTATAATATGAAATAAAATACAACTAAAACAACAGTTGGATAGCTATTCCCTACTTTATTGGTTAGGATTTTTAATTGCATAATGCAAACTGTTGATTTTCAAATATAAAAAAAACGTCCATGCCCGGCATTCCAATGCTGGAGCAGGAAAGCTTGAAATACCTACCAAAACACTTGAATACAGACATACTGTCAGTATGGAAATGCTTCTGTGCAAGTGTTAATCAAGTTAAATCCCAACAGCCAATCAGCAAGAAGTATAGAGGAAAGCTGCATGCCTATTGGTTGATGCCCTGCATTCCATTCTGATGACTCATGCCCAAACGTGGTAAACAAGGCAGACTAACACAGTAATACATTTGCTATAACACAGCCAAAAAACTCAAATAAAACCATTCTAAAAGCCTGTATCACAATAATTTAAAAAACGCCTAGGGGTATTTGCCCACTGTACCTCCATACCAAATTTCAGGACCTTAGGCCCTAAAATGAAGAAGCTGAATCCATTTAAAGATATGGCAGGAGGAGGAGGAGGAGGAGAAGGAGAAGGAGAAGAAACATCAGAAAAAGCAATATGGTTTCACCACACCACTTCGTGGTGTGGTGAACCCATAATAAGAAGTTTCTAAGGGGGGAGTATGGGAGCCCCGGCATACAAATAGGATTGCACCCAGGCTAGTTACCGTCTTGCAGCGAATTTAGTACTTCTATATTATTACCTCCATGAAATGTGTCATGGAGGTTATATTTACCTCCATGAAATGTGTCATGGAGGTTATATTTACCTCCATGAAATGTGTCATGGAGGTTATATTTACCTCCATGAAATGTGTCATGGAGGTTATATTTTCAGTTGCGTTTATCTGTCCGTCCGTCCGTCCGTCCGTCCGTCTGTCTGTTGGTCAACAAGATAACTCAAGAACGCCTGGATGGATTGGTTTCATACTTGGTGTGTTGGTAGGGTGTGACGAAAACTGGAAATGATGAGATTTTGGTCCCCCTAGTGGCTTCCCTTGGTACTGCAGCGCAACTTCCGTTTGTATATCTCGCGATCTGGACATGCTAGGGTCATGAAATTTTGATGGAAGGTAGCTCTCGTGCTTGGGAAGAAGTCATATGAGTTTGGGCCCCCTAGCGGCTTGTTCTGGAACTGCAGGGCACTTTCTGGTGAAATGTTTAAAAGCCAATAAGTCCAGACAGGAACAACATATTTTCATTATTTTTGGTGTGTAGGTAGCTGAGAGAGAGATGTACATAATTAAATGTAAATTATGCAAATGAGGACTTTATTTGCATAATTAATGAGGAAATTCTATAATTACAGTGTTTTACATTATCTCGCGATCTGGACATGCTAGGGTCATGAAATTTTGATGGAAGGTAGCTCTCGTGCTTGGAAAGAAGTCATATAAGTTTGGGCCCCCTAGCGGCTTGTTCTGGAACTGCAGGGCACTTTCTGGCGAAATGTTTAAAAGCCAATAAGTCCAGACAGGAACAACATATTTTCATTATTTTGGGTGTGTAGGTAGCTGAGAGACAGATGTACATAATTAAATGTAAATTATGCAAATGGGGACTTTATTTGCATAATTAATGAGGAAATTCTATAATTACAGTGTTTTACATTATACTATGTAACCTATGGCAGGCGGAACTTCAACAGATACTAATTATGCAAATGATGACCTAATTTGCATAATTAATGTGAAAATTCTATGATTTCGTAATGGTGAATGATGAGAATGTCATACTTGGGACATCTGTAAGTTAATCAAAAGTTAACGTACATCACGATGCATATATCATGTTAATGCAGAGGTCATTTGAACAATTAAAGAAGAAATTTACATTTACATATCAAGATCATATTTCATGGAGGTATGAGATCTCGGAATTCTAGTTTCAGTTGCGTTTATCTGTCCGTCTGTCCGTCTGTCTGTTGGTCAACAAGATAACTCAAGAACGCCTGGATGGATTGGTTTCATACTTGGTGTGTTGGTAGGGTGTGACGAAAACTGGAAATGATGAGATTTTGGTCCCCCTAGTGGCTTCCCTTGGTACTGCAGCGCAACTTCCGGTTTTGATATCTCGCGATCTGGACATGCTAGGGTCATGAAATTTTGATGGAAGGTAGCTCTCGTGCTTGGGAAGAAGTCATATGAGTTTGGGCCCCCTAGCGGCTTGTTCTGGAACTGCAGGGCACTTTCTGGCGAAATGTTTAAAAGCCAATAAGTCCAGACAGGAACAACATATTTTCATTATTTTTGGTGTGTAGGTAGCTGAGAGAGAGATGTACATAATTAAATGCAAATTATGCAAATGAGGACTTTATTTGCATAATAAATAAGGAAATTCTATAATTACAGTGTTTTAAATAAGTCCAGACAGGAACAACATATTTTCATTATTTTTGGTGTGTAGGTAGCTGAGAGAGAGATGTACATAATTAAATGCAAATTATGCAAATGAGGACTTTATTTGCATAATTAATGAGGAAATTCTATAATTACAGTGTTTTACATTATACTACTTACATACATGTAATGTATGTAACCTATGGCAGGCGGAACTTCAACAGATACTAATTATGCAAATGATCTATGATTTCGTTATGGTGAATGATGAGAATGTCATACTTGGGATATCTGTAAGTTAATCAAAAGTTAACATACATCACGATGCATATATCATGTTAATGCAGAGGTCATTTGCACAATTAAAGAAGAAATTTACATTTACATATCAAGATCATATTTCATGGAGGTATGAGATCTCGGAATTCTAGTATTCACTTACTACTGTTTAACCGTTACAACCTACTGTACTTGTCACTGTACATGTTAGCCATTCTTCAAACAGATGTTGGGGTCGATGGTATTTTTACTGAACGAAGGGGTTGGTGGTTGTGTCTGACAGAGATGCGCTCAGATGCCCGACCAGAAAATTAGGATTTTCTACATCTACTTGGAGATAACATTCTTTGCCCATTTTATCCTGTCTTGGACTTCAAAGATAAATTTACTCCTCTTTTTCAATCAGTGACAAAAGTGATCCATTTGTAGATTGATGAGTTGATTGATAGGGACAGCTATCCACCATGTCACAACACCACCCGCTACACAACGTTGCGATCCCTGCACTAGCAAAACTCCTGGTCGGACTACAAACTTCTTAACTGAATTTTTAATCGGGTTGGACCCTAATCTCAGCGAGTACTATTAATTGTTTATTGTGTCAAATCGAATTCTTGCCGCCAACTGTACATATTCTTAGCGCTCGTACCAGACAAACTTTTAAAACTTCAAAGACTTTGTCATTTTAGTGTAGAACGACAGTAGTAATCTTACTCGTGAGAAATTATATTGTTTTACTTATATTGCTATAATAATATGACGATGACGATGGTTTTTATAAATTTAGTATATTACAAGTGTAGTTGCCCTCATTATATCTACTAGTATTGTATAATCCCAAAAGTTGTAAATATCAGCACAATTCAGTTTTACTGCAAGTCTGATATGTTCTTTGTTCTTTTCAATAAACCAATCACTACTACTACTACTACACCATTTTTTCACGGCAGGATCATGTATTTGTTTACAAGGAAAAGCATAAGTCACCCTACTGGTCGTGTATAATCGGGAGAGATCCCACATAATCTACCAGAAAGGCTGGTATCTGTTTTGTGGTAAAAGCATGGCTTAGTTAAAGCTGTGTCTTTTCTCTCCTTATCATCATAATCACGTAAACATCAGACAAGAGCTTTGGCGAAGCTGTGACTTGTTATCGACTAGAGAAACACAACAAAACGTAGTACAAGAAAACGAATAAAGACAGATCGTCAAAAAAGTGAAATAAATCCTGCTGCACATTTAATGATTAACGAACAGGTTGGCAGGGAACAATTCAGATCGGCATACAAAAGAATTTTAGGAAGGAAAGAAAAACACGATGTTCCCTGTTTCGTTCTTGATAAAGTCGCGACATTTGTCCTGGACATTTAGTGTTTTCCTTATGAAGACTAAAGTGGAAAAGTCTCTTAAATCAAACCGTACCCATAGTTAGGTAAGAAATTAATGAGTATAAAACAAGGAAACAAACAGAACTTGACATTTTCATACTGCAACAACACAGTGGTAAAGCGTTGCCGTCTGACTGAGTACATGTCAACAACTTGTTTGAGTCCCAAATGCAGCTGTGAGGATGCGCTGGGTTATATATTTTATAGTTTTAACAACAAAATTGTGTCAATATATACACGTGTCTTTTCGGGTGGTGAATAAAGCCCTCGGTGCAGTGTATGGGGAGCCTCAGACGCCAAACTGTCTGCACGCATGTAAAAGAACACATCCAACACACTTATGTCTTTATTGCACAACAATTGTAACTCTTCAGTACTACACATCTGACTAACATCTACTCTTATGTCTACAGTAATACCTACAAATTCTTTGTACCGAAAATAACATTATACTTTTTCAAAAAGGTAATATAGTACATGTATATATATATATATATATATGGAGCATGGCTTACATGATAATGTATATGTCTTGAGTTCTATATGACTGTATAAGCTAGAGTGTACATCAGTTAGTTGAGTCCGATATAATATGATGGGGCGGGGTGACCCAATGTGCGCGGTCAGATAGAAATGAGAGCCCTAGCGAAGCCGTATTGCACTTACTATCGAAAAAAAACAAGTATCTTGTTTGAAGTACTAGTATATATTCACGTCCACAGGGCAGTGCTTTACTACATGTGCACCACGCTGATAGCCGTGATCATGGGGATCGTGCTGGTGGTCAGCATCCAGCCGGGGAAAGGCGCGGGGAAGGTGGACAGGACGGGGCAGGCACCCAGCGTCTCCACCGTGGACGCCTTCCTCGACATTCTCAGGTACTAGTATATGTACGGTTTTGTGTGGTTGTTTGTGTGTCTGCTGTGTTTCGCTTTTTATTTTAGGCCACAGCAAGTAAATTTTGTGTACGACATCCTTCGCAGACTCCAAATCTAATGCGAGCGGGCGAAAAAAACAAGACGGGCCGAAAAAAACAAGATTCCTACATTTTAAAATTTTGACTCAATCATTGTACAAATGGTTTTAATTCAGTGGGGACATCAGATATTCACAGCCAACATCACATATCACTGCATCAAAGTAAGAAACAAAACATTAAATCAGAGTCTTTAATCTTCATATGTATCTGCCATCCACTTCCCGGCGTGGCAACAGACATCTTTGCCCATTTTCGGCATGGTGACCATTGTCAGAAGGCAACAAAATTTCTTTTTTTTTTTCAAAATCAGCCAAAAATCAATGCGCGCGCTGATGTCATCCATAAACCTTACTTGCTGTGGCCTTAGTTGTTTCAACATCCTAGGCACGTCGAGGACACTGACAGGAAGTTAGGCCAAAGGTCGCAGAAGGTCCAAGAAAAAGTTATCTCATTTCCTGTTTTCAATCCTTCATTGAGCATATTTCAGAAAAAAAGGGCAACGTCCTGTTCGATCAACGTTTACAAACCTCGTAGCTGCAGTTCAACACCCTTTTGTACGTATACTTACATCGATTGTTTGGCCATTCTGTTTGTTTGTTTTTTATTCCAACATCACGACGACACACTTAAGTTTTTTCAACTTACACTAATGCCGCCACCAACACAGGGGACAAATACATGACAGGACAATACTCATTTACACCTGAGTGAAGTGAGGAAAATTGTGTAAAGTGCCTTTCCCAAGGGCACAAGATCGATGGCATGTCAGGACTCGATCTCGGGACCTCTAGGTTCCGAGTCGCGCACTCTGCCGCTACGCCACACGACCCCACCGTTCTGTTTCTTACATAAGTTGCGCGGATGTTTATTTTTTCCACTAAAGCTCCCCCAAAAGGCTTGTGTGACTGACGCTATTTACACATAAAGAAATCCAGAGACTTAAAATCTCAAAGTCCAAGATTACACTTGGCATAGTGGTACCCAAACATTTTATGGTTGCGCTTGGTACCGGTCAGGCGACAGGTACATGTAGCTTATCAGAGATCGTGTGAGCGACCCCTTATCACCATGGTAAGGCAGCGTCAACTTCGTTTCCTGGGACATGCACTTAGAATGCCTGTGGGGGAACCATGCCGAACATATGCCCTGTATGTACCGACGCACGGCAAAAGGCGCCCAGGGCGCCAGCGACTCGACTACCTGGGCTACGTCCGGAACCTGTTGGGGGACACCGAGGGTGACCTGCGGCCAGAGGACATTGCCAACCTGGCGGCGGATCGACGGTCGTGGGGAAGACTTGTGGTCGACTGCTCCGCAGCCGGACGATAATGATGATCAGAGATCGATTGTGTACAAACATTTTACAGTATACAAAACAAAAAACAAGCAGTCTGGAATCTGATTACGTATCCCAATTTGCTTGTTTATCTCTTGTCGCTCGCCTTGTTAGTAAACAAGTGATAATGACAAGACAAATGAAGCTTTGCTGATGTTTAATTTACAGACCTGTAATCTCTAAGTAACGAGAGATCTAGCTGTTGGCCAAGGAAACTTTGGCATATGTGCAGGCTTATGTAATGACTTCGTTGCCTGGAAACGGAAAAATGGCGGTGTTGATTGGCTAAGCTAACATAACTTGAAGTGACTAGTCATGGATGTTTGAGCCATTTTGTTTTACTTGGTCAACACTGACTAATATACGAGTAAGTGCAAAATAGATAAAGAGATGACGAACGTATGCAAGGAACAAACTAATACAATGTAACAATGTGGCTTTGAAATGGCAAGAAAGGACATCATCCAATTGTGATATATGTATGTTTAATTGTACACATTAGAGATAAATTGTAAAGCGTTTGGTTGTTGTGATAAAATTTTGCGCAAGGGACAAGATTTTGCAACTTTAAGAATAATGGGCTGTCTCCAAGTAAATGAGAGATTAAACCGTTAGGGTGTCCTCAAAAAGTGCGACAAATTAGTTTAGGGTGTGTCCTAGGACCCCGCCCGGAAAGTTGCCTATACCCTGGAATCCAAAACTCGTTTTCCGGGCCGCAAAAGCCCTTCGCCCGCTGGTGTAAATTACCGCTAGTACTAGTTCTAGGGCCGGACAAACCCCTCGGGCTCAACTCCCCCGTAGCGGTACTATTTAGATAGGCGGGCGAAGGGCTCTTGGCTGCCGAAGGAAAACGGCTAACGGCCCGATACTAGTTTGGCACCCAGGGTAAGTTGCCTAAGGAGAGTTGATCGTTCAGTGTTGTAAATATACGAGGGACTGATTCATTGTGTATTTCCTGACATTTTCCACGTTTTATTGTCTTTGCAGGAATATTTTCCCTGACAATCTTGCAGCAGCAACATTCCAGCAGGTAAGAATGTTTCCCAAAATAGATCCTTCAAAGGACGTCTTCTAATTACATCCGCCACAGCTTGGGCCGTCTCAAGACTTTCTCACGGAAATTACTTTCGTCCTTACAATTATAAATCTCTTGGCTTTGTAAACAAGCCGTTTATGTTGAAATATTTCAACATCTGGTATACTGGACCTATACCCTTATGGCACACACCCTTCTTTGAAAAGAGGCCATATATTTTACCATGGCTTCATTGTTGATTTCTGATAAGGGTTAGCAAAAAGTTGGTCAACATTAATAAATTACGTAGCCAATCTTTAACTACCTTTATAAACCCATCGAAGAAACTTTTGTTGTGTTACGCCTCCTTTGCAACTGGGTGAATACCTTTGAGCGGCCAAAACTGGATTTGTATGGCCTATATAATATTAATAATTGGAGTATGTTCTCATGATGTGAAAGTGTTATTTTGAAAGACAGGAAAAGATGCAAAACGTACAAAGTACATTTCTTTATCAATAAAGTTCGTTTGGTCAGTGGAAAGACTGTACGCTTGACTTTTTTTAATTACTGGTCCGAGCTTTTGTTAGCCTGACTAAAGCGGCTGTATACACAGGCTAAGCTTTTGTTAACTACCGTCTTTAAAAGAGGACATAACCAAATTTACAGAGATCAAATTTTCAGCGACGTCCACTGTCGCCTTCATCAGGATAATTAATGACCAATCACTTTACAACGAAGATTACGTTGTGAAGTGATGAAGGCGACAGTGGTCGCTGAAAATTTGATCTCTGTAAATTGTGTGTTGGAATAAGGTTCAACGTTTTACTATGATTACTACCAACACAGATGAACTTTCGTGATGACCAAATTTCGGTAACCTCCAGTAGCCGTGTACAAACAGTGTTCTTTGCACGTGCTTCACCTTAACATGACCCCCGAAATTTGACTTAACTCTTTGTACCCATTAAACTGTACTGTAGTAACCCTCCCATGTTGTTTGTAGAAGTGGGCGTTGTTGACATGGGGTTCGATCGTACCTGACTCAGTACTTAACGTCATTGCAATTTTCTGACACAGCAAACATTATATTGACACCAGCACACATATTTGTCAATTACTTAGCAGTTTTGTGCATATAAAAGTACAATTTTTCTAAGATTCGCTATTGCTATCGTGATTTATCAGTCACTGCACATACCCGTCTCCAGTAGCTAATAAACTGGTAGAATTTGACAAAATGTTCTTGAGTCTGTATGTATGGTTGGCATTTATCAACCGTGGCATTTATCACTGTCAAGTAAACGTGGTTGATAACAGTTTAACCTTAGGACTTGTGATTATGTAAAAAAAATCTTTTCAATTGTGTTCAACAGTTATGAATTGAGATTTTAGATTTCATGGTATTTGTTTCTTATATTAGAGTTGTTAAACAAAAATCATTTCTTCTCAGTTTCAAACAGTGCTGAAAGAGGTCATACCGGAAGACGGCAATGGCACGGCCGGAAACGACACCATGTTCAACGACACCATGTTGAACTTGACAGAACCCGCCAAGGTTTACGTTACCGAGGTAAATCATCTACCAGAACATTTTAAACATTTTACTCAGTGTCCTGTTGGTACATTCTAAGTTAAAATAAGACCCCCCCCCCCCACGAAGCCCATTTTTGGCCTTGACAATGCCCATCACTAAGACAACCTGCCTTCCAAAAATCGTGAACCACGAACCATGCCTTCAAACTTTATCGTGCATAATCTGCAAAACAGTGCCAAAACGATTTCATAGCCTTCTGTCGAAGGCAATGAAACCAAAATGACATCTTTTCTTCACTCACGGAGTTACGAAAGATTACAAAATGGCAGGAAAGAATGGCACCAAGTACCGTATGATGACAACTCTTGGACAAAACTCAAGCTAAAGCTAAATTCAAGCTATTTCGTTCCCACCAAAGAACCTCAGCTCTAAACTACACATTCGTTGTTGTCCTTCCCCCTGCCAACATTTCCGACAACTTTAAACAACTTCGTTGTGCCACCGTTTACTCAAGGCAGCTGAATGGTGCACCGGATAGGAGGATGCCAGTCCCTGAATATAAACAAGGTCATGTAAATTTGATAATTTTGGAGGGAACCGACTCACTATCTTATACTTTCTACATGATATTAAACAGAAACGAGGAAAGAATTTGGAAGTTCACGACAGACCATAGCCTGGCTTGTCTCCTCAAATACGAGCAGTACAAAATGGACGTCACCCCTGATACGTAAATGTTTACTTGTGCGATAAAGGCTAAGAGGAGGAAACGTGTTAATGGTTGTCCTGTCAGAAATATCTGTCTAAGTGAGTTGGAAACGCTAAGAGTTATCACAAATTCAACCAGGAAGTCCATTTAGCTTTGACCTCAAGGCTCAAATGGAAAAACTGTGTGATAACTGAAGAGGAGGGTTGAACTAATTTTCGAAGTGGGTTGCCCCCCTCCCACATTTCTTGGAAGGCTGGGTGAAACTCTGACCTCTGACTCCCTTGCGTGCCATTCAAGGTTGTAACTACAGAGTGCCCTTGACATGCCCTTGACATTGAGCAGATATGGCGGCAGATAGTGCCATGATCTTGACCACCATGACCACCTGTCTCCTGCCCTTTTTGTCACCCCTTCCCCCTAAAAACGTTTGGCATTTTTGCGGCGAATTTAACGGTTAACATAGAAAGTAATGAACACAGTGTGGTGAGATGTGACACTGTCGTACTACTGTTATTCAACACGGCATCTTAGAGCCGAAAAGACATGGCTTATATGTCACAACGTAACGTTAATGTTTGTGTTCCAAAGTTAGCATGGCCTACATGTATATCTCGTATACATAATATATAACCGGTATGCATCTGCACTGCCAAGCCTTTAAAAATAGGCACAACATAAGAACAGTACAACACAAGAATTCGAAGCTATGAATGTATCGTGAAATTCTGTTTCAAAAAACTTTCCGTTTTTGCCTTTTTTCATTCTTGGTATGAGATCATCTTCAGTCGACTATTGAGTTAGGTTTACAAACTTAACTTGCTCATTGAGCGCCCACTCATTGTTATCGTTACATATTTGTTGCATCAGATTTCTGCTGATGGAGCGTGCACAAAGGTCATATGACTAGTGTAAACTGTTATGTAATCCATCACGATAACCGCCCCACACACACACAGGACGGCACCAAGGAAGGCATGAACGTGCTCGGCCTGGTGGCCTACTCCATCGCACTCGGGGTCATCCTGAGCACCATGGGCGAGGCCGGCCGACCTCTCATCAACTTCTTCAACTCGCTCAACGACGCCACCATGCGGCTGGTCTGGGTAGTGATGTGGTACGTTTCTAGTCTTCAAGCAGGCTTCAGCTTATTTTTGAGCGCCTTTCTAGGCTTTTTATTGGGCTTTCTTGTTTTGTACTGGTGTCTTTTTTTTTTGCTAACCAAACTTAATAGTCGCGCGGATACATCCTGACCAAAAGGTCTACTTGGAGATTAGTTACTTTCGATCGCGAAAGATTCAGTGTTCTCCTGTGTTTGATTCGTTCACTTTTGCAAAATCCTATTCTGTTTTAGTCTTGAGTCAATGTACGCCGTCATATTGGCTTGTGAGATCATAGATCGGCCACCTTGAAACATACGACCCATTTCGACCAATCATAGAGCGTCTCAGTAAAACCAATCAGATTGGAGGTACTCGTACGTTATGAAAATGCACGGGGAACCTATTTTATGGAATGGATATGCATATGGCTTATGTATGAGTTCCTGAATTTTCTGTTCTGCACCGTGTTACACTGACTCCAGGTACTCACCTATCGGCATCACGTTCTTGATCGCTGGGAAGATTATTGAGATGTATGACGACCTGAGTGCCCTGGCTGGAGCACTGGGCCTGTACACTATTACTGTGCTGGTGGGGCTTGCTATACACGGTACGTAACACTACTGTTGTTGTTCCTATATACTGTTGTATATCTGTATCGGTATAGCCGGTACAACCGCCCTTCGGCGTAACACACCAGCTTCGCAGGCACGCGGCGCGGCGGCAGCTAGCTATATCACACCGAACGACTTGTTACACTTAATCTTTGCACATTTGATTGCAGGAGTTGTTTAAAGCTTTCTAGTGATGATGCCCCAACTGTGCTTGGTGGCAACGAGTTCCAGTCTACGATAGTTCTGGGGAAATACGAGTTTTTGAATACCTCAATTCTTGGTTGATAACTCTGATATTTGAAGGCATGACTGTACATGTTTCTTGTTCTTTTCTGGGCTGGTATCAGATACTTAGTGATTGGTTTATTAGTATAAATCATACATGGACGATGTAAATATAGAATACAACACGGGGTATTCCGTATCGCCCGAGGTATCGGCCCGACGATCCGACTCGCGGGAGGGCCGGGACCGATTATTAGTATAAATCATACATGGACAATGTAAATATAGAATACAACACGGGGTATTCCGTATCGCCCGAGGTATCGGCCCGACCGCTGGTCGGATCGCCCGACGGCCGCAGGCCGGAGGGCGATCCGACTCGCGGGAGGGCCGGGACCGAGGGCGATGCGGAATACCCCGTGTTGTATTCTATATGTAGTACCCTGTACACCAAACTTTATAAATGTATACTTCGTTCTAAAGTCCGTAACCTCAATGTTGCAGGTCTTATCATCTTACCGCTCCTGTATTTCGTCTTTGTACGGAAGAATCCGTTTGTCTTCATCGCTGGTCTTGTGCAGGCCCTTCTCACCGCTGTAGGAACGTCTTCAAGGTGTGTGGCGTGTCTTGAAGAAACAATACTTGAAGTTGTAGTTTGAACACCTCTGGCATACCTGGAAAGGACATAGTGAAATCCATTGTGTGTTGACGTTTAGTTGTGGCTTGTGAGATTTTTAGTTAACGTTATTGCCGCTTTTAATTTTTTTATACATTGAAACCGATGAATGAATGGCTTCTATCCTAAAATTCTAAGACGTAGACTGTGTATGCTGAACTTGTTTAAGTCGTTGTTATGTTTCTACACAGCTCTGCCACACTGCCAGTGACATTCAAGTGTCTGGAGGACAACAACGGCATCGATCCCAGAGTAACTCGCTTCGTTTTGCCGATCGGGGCGACCATCAACATGGACGGAACAGCGCTGTACGAGGCCGTGGCTGTTATCTTCATTGCGCAGGTCAACGGCACCCCTCTGGACGTGGGTGGTATCATTGTTGTCAGGTGGGAGGCTGTTGTTGTAGCTGTCCTTGGTGCTGAATCATACCCGTTTAACACAAAAAATGCACAGAAAAGTGCAATATTGCTGTGGAACAATCTACCATATCATGTTAAAACACTGAGTAACCTACTCAGGTTCACAAAAGCTATCGTAAACAGTGTTACATGAACCTCAACCTCTAGTTTTTAATTTGTAAATATCAATTTGTGTGTTCATTTCTTGATATTTTGATGTATTCATGTTTTTTTTAACGTATTCACTGTTTTTTCACTGTAATTTCCATGTATGTGATTATGTAATTTTAATGTTTGAGCCTTGGAAGACTAGCCCTGTAGAGCTAAAAGGCTTCGAAATAAATGAAATGCACGACCACAATGTTTAACTTTATTCTTTATGTAGAAACCTTTCTAAACGTGCATCCTATTGACGAATCCATGGTAAGAAAGATTACGATTTTGAATTTATGACTCCATAAGCTGATTCTATCCGTGTAATGACGCCATGTTTCTGTGACGTCATGTAGCGTGACAGCTACCGTGGCTGCCATTGGTGCAGCAGCCGTCCCCCAGGCGGGGCTCATCACCATGGTGATCGTACTCTCGGCAGTCGGGCTGCCTGCAGATGATGTCACTCTCATCATCGCCGTTGATTGGTTCCTGTAAGGGTCTTTTTTATCGTTGTGACATTGAGCTACCACACCTATGACAACAGACGTTCACACGTTGTGCCAACTTCATTATTCAAGTAGATGTTACAATTCAACTTAGCAAAGGTATTCTGTTGCTTTGCTTTGCTTAGTTCGTTCATTCTCTCATGCCAAGCCCGTCGCCTGTTTATATATATATATAAAGCAAAGGTCCTGTCCTGTTGAGATTGATACTTTTCGTTGCGCTAGCCAGCCTTCCGCCAATAAGATATCTCCTGTTTTGTAGAAAAAGTTACCACTGTAATACCAGTCGATCAAGTTGTCGTTCTGAGTAGTTGCAACAGAATCATACTTTAATATCGAGAAATTGTGTTTGTTGAACACTCAAAAGATAGGACAACAGTGTAAAAAATGTAGCAGACTTGGTGTTTATACTTGACTTAATCATAATGATGAAAGTGACAACAGTTCCTGTTTTTGTCAAGAATGTCTAAAGTAAAACTAACAAAAGTAAAATTATCAGCCAACTACCATCAAGGTGATACAGTTTTAATGATGCAAGTAGAGGGTAGACTTTTCTACCTTTTACTCCATTAAAACAATATCTTCAAGCTCATTCATTGCAACTTTGCATACACAAACAAAGCGAAAGGCCAGCTTTTTCAAAAGCATTTCTTGTTTATCTTTCATTCCGTTTCAGGGACCGGTTCAGAACCATGATCAACGTTCTGGGCGACTCCATAGGGGCGGGGATCGTGGCCCACTCGGTCCGGAACGAGCTCCCGGATGAGGTGGATGACGTGGAGATGGGGACAGTCACCCAGCCGGCCGACAGGAAGAACAGACGGTCCACCGCCTCGGACGGACACGAGAACCGCGCTCTGGAGGACGAGAGATCATTTGAAACTGCCATGTAGACAGCCAACACTAGCCTGAGTGTCAGCCTTGTTAGCTTTCGTCCGCTACCCAAGATCCGCTCCTGGCCAACTTGTTGGCGGGGAGCGGATCTTGGGTAGCGAGACGAAAGCTAACAAGGCTGACACTCAGGCTAAGCCAACACGGGATGACCGTTAGCCTCTGTATCAGGCGTCTTGGCAGGGCTTTCATGGGGCTTATTATGTGCTATTTACCTGATTGTATGTCAGTTCTGATTCTACCCGGTTTTGGGCATATATCTGTCAGTCTTTGTGAACGTAGGTTACAACCAGAACTGGCATACAATATGTGAACAGAAAAAAATAAGTCAGAACAGAAAAAAAACAGAAAAGGAAAGGTTCTCAACAAAAGCCTGCTATGGAGGCTAATGAGTGGGGTCAGGGGTCATCTCCAAGTAGATGTTTGACGGGAAAGCCGTCAGGTCTTCCTTCATTTCTTTCCTGAAAATCTGTCGGGGTGGGAGGGGGGCTGTTGGAAAGCGGCATTTTCTCACCTTACATCTGTTTCTGGATTACGATATTGTACGAGCCATATTAGAGATGAAGAATTGTAGTGCCCTTGACTCTTCTTGTGACTGCGTACAAGAAAAGTAGCTGTCTGTTTTACCTTACGTTTTGGGGGAGGCAAGCTGTTTAGGTTCCCTAAGGGTGTGTATGATGAAGTCCAATGTAACATATATAGAGTGACTTGTACAGTTGTGCCATGGGGGTCGTTGTACAGTTGATGAGTGAGCTGCATGTAAGGAATATGAGATATTCTAACTAGAGAATTAACATTTGCAAAGCAAATGCATAATGTTTTCCTTCGGACATTGTCTGCTCTGTTAATTCCTACTCATTCACATACATGTACTACTAATATGGTGACAGGAGCAGAGCAGACCATGAAATTGCAACATGATGTAACCCAACACCAGTCACCATGGTGACAGATGTCAACAAATCATGTGATTGGTCAGGTAATAGGTCACTGTTTGGAGAAGAAGAAGAAACTGAGCAAAAACAATATGTTTTCCTTCGGTAAACATAATGAAGGAAAGGAGCTGAAGAAATGTGTTGCCGTGTACACCCCTGTTTCAATGGAATAGTTCTAGTAAAACCCCCTCCGCAACTACCATTTTGAGTTATCTAAATGACTTCTGAAGTCTTCCATTGTTTTTCTGTGTATCGATATGCATCTGAAAATATAAATCAAGCGATAGTGGCTATACAATGAAAACCGTTTGGGATAGCCAAGAAGCTTAAACAGTTTAAAATCTCCCTTGAATGGCATCGGTCATTGCAGAAAGTGCACAACGTAATGAAGCTTGCACACACGTACAGTAAAAGGAAATTTTCTGTTTAGTTTTTCCCCGGAAAGCTACCCAAACTTAGAGCCCGGGGCTCTTTCGCACCGCCGTCCAACGAACAAAATGTAAGAAGAACAGTAAAGGATGTAAATATGTGTAGATATTTGAAAAATAGGCAGTAAGATCATGTTGAGTTCGCCATATTAGGCATGTGACAGCTGTATTTTAAAGCCATGTTATTACTATGAAATCATTAGAATGGTGATGTAACACTAGACGCATATGTATCAAACTAATTTGAATGCGATGATTAATAAGTCAGTATGATTTTGCATATCTACTGTAAATGTCATTTTACTCATAATAAACTATTGATAACCTCTCAGCGTCTTCTCGTGACAGGCCATATGTGAGTTAATTGTGTTCGGACAAATGTTGACGTGTGACGTTTATTTCTTTATTTCTTCTTCAAACATACATTGACAGGGAAATACACACATATACATGTCCATATGCCCTGAATTGCGTAAGTTTGTTACAAAACAATTGTACATACCATATGTGCTGAATATCCTGACAAAAATACATATAGTAACAAACACTACACCAAGATCCAAGCTCACAGGCTGGTGGTTGGTCTAGGAAATAGAGTTATTATAAAGTCTGACTGCAGTGTGCAGGAAAGACTGTCTCAGTCGTTCAGTTCTGGCCTTGGGAAGAGTGAACGCACTCTTGTTCCTCAGATTCCTGCCAGTGGCTGTGCATCTTTGAGGCGGCATGAGATCGTGCAGTGGATGATCAGGCTTTAACATGTCCTTAAAGAGTTTGACTGCTGCAGCTTCTCTCCTTTCCTTCAAAAGTGTACAGGAAAGGGTCTAGAGGGGCGAACTTTTTATACTCTCCAAGCAGAGGTTTGGGCTTTGGCGTATTTTTGGCGTTTTTTAAGGCTTTCTTATTGTGCTCTCTCTTTTTTTTCTGGCACTGTGTTATCTTTCCATGCCAGCCCGAAAAAAAAGATACCAGTACAATCAAGAAGCAGTTCTTAGAATTCAGCTTCTCCCATCTGGACATGGATAGTTTCGACGTCCTGAGAAACCATACTGTAAATCGTACAAAACAGTTGCAAAACGAGCAAACATTAGAAAACGATAGCAATGTCGTCGACTGCCAAAATTAAACGAAAAAGACGAAAATGTGAAGAAATGAATGTGAAGATTATTACATCATTCGCCAAACCATACAAACATGTGTCATTTGTTCAACCTTCAAATAGATTTCATAATGAAAGCAACTTTTTTTTGGCCAACCTTTTTTTTTCGCACGCTCGCATCAGTTTTGGGGTTCCCAGAGTATGTCATCCATATAATCAAATCAACATGGCCTTATAAAGATGCTCACCTCTAGTCTGTAACGCAAACTGCCGTCCGCGGCTTTAGTGGCTCCTCCCCGCAGCTGGTAGCGGCTGGATGTTACGTTGGGCGGGCGGCAGCTGTAAAGCGATTATCAGGCTAGCTCTCCTCATGTGATGGGCCTGTTCTCCCTTCCAAGGTCCCTGTGCCACAACCTGCAAACACACATGTTGACCGTCTGGGCACCTGGGCCCCGGCACCACGGCAAGGTGGTCTCCTTTCGCCGGGGGAAATTTAGCGTTTTTCTTTCGCGAGCCAAACGGACCTGAAGAGAATCGTTCTTTGACGAATTGATTCAAGTCATTGGTTCAATATCCGTTGAGTGTTCGGAGAATAGACGTAATTTTCAATGACGTCCCTCGTGTATGTGAACGTCATTTTTCACATGTCTACTTATTTTACACGTTATCGTATTTGGAGACACTTAGCAGGTGCCTTAGTCACGGTTTGAACTACATTACGAAACAAGATTCTACATTGCCATAGACCTACAGTACTATTCGTTTTGGTCAATGCGACACGATCAAAATGTTCTCAAAACCTCCATCATGTGTTGCATGCTTAGTAGCTAAAAATCCTTTTTTTTTATAGAAAAGTTAGCATCATGATGATTCTAGTCAGTTGAAAGATTATTTGACCGTAGATCGGACATTTGTCACCTTTCTCGGTGGTGTGTCACAGTCGAAAGTCATAGAAAAAGTATGTCATGTAAACGAAAATGAAACGTTGTGGAATGTTCGAAGCAGTCAATCCGAAAATGTCCCCAGATGCTGTCCGAAGCGGCGTCCTTGTCACCCTCACCTTCGGAATCAGATAGACGATTATCAGTTTCAGTCCATCTTCCGTCCAAGTGTCAAACGTCACAGCAGTTCTACATTCGTCAAACCACCTTATCAGTACTGCTCGAGTTTCCGTGATGAAACGTCGCATGTTATAGTCGTTATAGAGTCATGGTAATATGATATAGATGTGATGATAGTCACTTAGTCACAGTGAGTGTCTGCCTTACTGTGGACGTTGCATGAAGAGGTCCTCCACATCCACGATCCAAGGCATCCGGTGATCGTCTTCCACGTCAGACAGCTCGTCGTCCATCTCAACACCAACAGCTGTCTCCTCGCTGCTGATCCAGTTGATGATGGCGTGGTGAGCGGCCGCGATCTCTGACGGCGTGCCCTGGCGCAGGGTCTGGAACAGCGCTACCAAGTGGTGGAAGTGGACTTCGTCACCAGGTCGGTAGGTGTCGTCCTCCCAGTGGTCCTCCACGAGAAAGCAGACGGGGTCCTCGTCCAGCGTCCCCCAGATGTCAGCGCTCAGGAGGAGGAAGTCGAAGCGGTGCCACTCGACGACTCGCCATCCCTGTCCCCACCGTGCGAGGCGTACGGTACTGGTTACGCCAGTACGGCGACCACAGGTGTCACAGGTGGGGCCCTGAGGAGGCAGCTGCGCCAGGTACCCTCCTCCAGCCACCTCCCAGGTGGTCTCGATGTCGTCGTGAGGCCGTCCGCAGGCTTCACAGAAGCGGACGTGGTCGGGGAGCTCCTGCCTGATGGGGCGGCCGGCGTTCCGCATCCAGGCGGAACCGAAGACCCGGAAAGGTTTCATGACTTCCCAGGCGCACTGCTCCGCTGAAGGCACAGGGAAAGTCGGCGAGAAAAGACTCATGTCGGGATCCTTCCAGTGAAGCGAATGTCGTTCTCAAGGTTTCAGAATGCGATTCGAACTCGGAGAGTAAAGGTAGAACCTTCCTCCACGGTGTCAAACTCACAAGTGCGAGATTTGAAAGTTAACGGTCGATACGTTCGAAACGGACATTCCATCACTGGAAGAGAAGGGGTGTTTTAAATTTTGTACCCAGGATAATTAATTAACAAGGACATACGGATAACCTAAAACGTTTGAAACGATGTTGACTCTGATGAAATCTTCATCTTTGACTCCTTCCTTACATCACATGAAAGAAATTAGAGAAAATATCAGAGATAAAACACCTGTCGCTACCTGCGCAAAGTATGGTATGATTTTCGAACACCTTGTTGCCATGGAGTTGTCCTGGAGAATTTGGAATCGTATGACGTCGACATCAACAGAACATCGTAAGTTTGAACTGAGATGACCCCGTTCTATCAAGTAGGATAGGGAGGGGGGCATTACATTATATTTTGGACTTCATAAGTTATGTCAGGCTGTAGCACTAAAAGGCCAATCCCCAAGAAAGATTAAAGAATGGGAAATAAAAAAAACAAAGACCTTGATACGGGATCATCGCCCGAAGGTACTAGTAGTAATTCGTAAACCAGCTCATTCTTTTCGTTTCCTTTCGGTGTCAAGAAGACGCCTGACCCTCAATCATAGCTAGTCAGCGGTGAATCTTCTGACGGCGAAACAACGGTGAAATACCCTGATACGTTTGTACCAGGGTAGCAGTTCACCCATTGACACAAGGTAGTTACAAGAAACACGATGACCACCCAATCTACGAGACAGTCCAGACATAGCATATTGAACATTAGGCCACAGCAAATAAATTCTATGGATGACATCCACCGCAGACTCCAAATCTAATGCGATAGGGCAAAAAAACAAGGCGGGCAAAAAAAGCAAGATAAAGCATAGCATTTTCAATTTTTGACATCGTGAACCTTGTTAAACAAGAAATGTATGTATGGTTTGGCGAATAATGTAATAATCTTCACATTCATAATAATCTTCACATTCATTTCTTAACATTTTCGTCTTTTTCGTTTAATTTTGGCAGTCAACTCACGGTATATATTTGCTCGTTTTGCAACTGTTTTTGTACGATTTACAGTATGGTTTCTCAGGAGGTCGAAACTATCCATGTCCAGATGGGAGAAGCTGAATCCTTATAACTGCTTCTTGTTTGTACTGGTATCTTTTTTTTGGGCTGGCATGGAAAGATAACACAGTGCCAGAAAAAAAAGAGAGCACAATAAGTTTACTGCCAACTATTATAACATCCATTTGACACTAAAAAAATGAAAGTTTGCATTGTACAAATGGTTTTCATTCTGTTAGAACATCACATATAAAAGGAATAAAATATATCACTGCATTATAGTTAGACCAATAAATTAGAGGCTTTTCTTGTCTCCTCTATTCATATTTATCTGCAATCCACGTTCCGGCATGGCAACAGACATCTTTACCCATTTTCGCCATGTTGACCACTGTCAGAGGGCAAAAAAAAATCTTGTTTGTTTTTCCAAAATCAGGCGAAAATTAATGCGCGCGCTGATGTCATCCATAAAAATTACTTGCTGTGGCCTACTGAAGGTTAAAAACAGCACCAGGCTAACCCTAAACCTACCTACGTACGAAAATCATATCCCACTCCATCTAGTTGTGCTGACTACACATATCCGGAAACACACTCCCCTACAACAGAGTGAAGAGGCTTTGTCTTCCTCTGTCTTCAAAAAAGAAGTCAAACCCAGTAGTTTTTACTAGTAGTTTCTTAGTAGTTATCAATAGTTTTGTGTGTACTAATTGTCTGTTTTTTATACCAAATGTTTCTTCTGTTCCTGCAATTAGCCCTCGGGCATGAATTTACAACAAGAAGCCATAGGTGACAATTCTCCGTGAAGTATTATATATTGCAACAAAAAGAAGTAGCCATTGGCGACAATTCTCTGTGAAGTGTGATAAATCGAACAAAGAAAAATTGTTTAAACGCGCGTCGGCTCAGTCATCTTAAGACGCAACAACCAATCAGAGATGCGAAATGCCGACACGTGACGCGGGATTTGCATACAGTCTAAACAACGGGGAAGGGCGCGCGATGCCCGAAATATTTTTGCGTCAATATTCAGCGCCGTGTTTCAAGAGATTAATACCGGGAAACAAATTCTTTTCTTGTTTTGAACGCATAAACATGCATTTACGCTAATCTAGTATGATTCAGGGTTACTTTTTTTTACCTGCCATGGCCAGATTATCTAAAGATGTGTGTATTGTGTGTACAATCTACAGAAAGAGAAATGTACATCAGGTCCGATCATCCGATTTTCACGTTTCGGTTTTTTGGACTCGGTTCATGAACGTATTTTGGTTTGGCTCCTGGAATGTGCGAAAAAAAATGACTCCCGGGACTGTCTACAGGGAACACTCGCACATTCGCGGTGTATCAGGACAGCGACTGGTCGGCATTAGCGCAGTCCCTGTAATTAGTAACAGTTGCACATCAATCCGGCCGAAAGCATGATTGTGTAACACAGGCTACTTCTTCATATACCGGCTCATACTACACGACGCCTTTACAACTAGCAAATCATAAAATTACCCGATCTACTAGTACTGTATGTGCGGTTTACCAGCCCCAGACCACATCCGACCACGAGGCAGAACACATTGATGGGTTGCTCAAAAATATTGTCCATGTTTACAAAGAGCTGCTCCACTAACACTATAGAGCGGCCCAACCCAAAAATATTGGCCATGTGTCGTTGCTAGGACGACCGGCCAGTTGCTACGTGACTAAATACACGCCGCCACTAGGTCGCCACACCCGACCAGTTTGAAATCGATAGGATTACGTCATCGGTATTAACATTTCCTAATGTTGACCTCTTACCACCCCACATTTCCGCCCCATCAGCCTCGCCGCGACTTACTACCGGTGACATAAACGGACGACAACATTTCAACGACATGGGGATGTTTCGAAAATAAGCATTTACTCCAATATCAAAACAGCTACGGTAAAAATAAAAAGACGTGCATCATCCCGGACATAATGCCACACCACATGCGAAATTACACAAAAATGCGACGTACGGAAGAATGCGTTTTGGCTGCGAACATCTTCCAAAAAACTTGGCATCTCTTAACCATGGTCAAAAACATCTGGAACCTCTTATCAAAACCACCCCGTATCTGCATGAAGTTCCACCCCCCCACTGCTATTCCAAACAACGCGTTTTTCTGGACCATTCCAATTCGCCTCGTAATTGTAGGGGTGCGTCTGCAATATTACATTGACCGCGAAAGCTGCAACGGCAAAAATACACATTCGTGCATCAACACGGGCATGCCCGCAGACGGCGTATAAAATTGCGTGCCGATTACACAAAGAGAACCCAGTGTTTTGACTGCGAACACGAAAAATCAGCCGATCACAACACTCCGTCCGGAGGTCCTGACCTCCTTCACGGAGTAATAAAACTTTATATGAAACGGAGAATCCCCGGGTGCCGCCATCGTAACATGCAGTACTTTTAACTTCCGCATGATATCAGGAGAGACGTTTAATATTTGACAGGCACACTGCCGGACAAAATGTGATGCTTCAATATATGTTTTTGGTGCCGTCCATCTGCATAACGCGTTATTTATGTATTCCGAGAAATTGTTATTATTTTGAGTGTGTGTGTACATGTATTATAGAACATAGTACCGTGACGTCGCTGCCGGGCCCTAGCACCGTCCTAGTTCTACAACGACCCGTTGTTCCAAAAGTTGTTCTGGAACCGCACAAACTCCCAGTGTTCCAGACTAGCAACGGCGTTCTACGTGGTCTGTTTACACTCTCGACTGACTACTAGAGTGAAACAGGCAGACTTCAGCTGCTCCTTTCCCAGGTCAACAGTAGAGAGATTTTTTCTGAGACAACATGTCAAGACGACGTGGCCGGAGAAGGCACCGGCGGTCTCGAGCTCGAGCCGCTAGTTCTCCCAGTTTCCCGGCTTGTAACGTGCCGGATGAGCCGCAGGACAGACACCGGCTGGTGTTTAAAGCGGCTATGATCTCGATGTTGCTCCTTGTAGCTGTGACGACGGTGAGTTTGCTACATTATCACTTCACCATATATAGCAGAAGGCAATAACCTACATGTTTTCCACTGTACCCAGTGTTCAGCACCAAGGACAGATCCATCTCTATACCATCTTTTATACTGGTACTATACTACTAGTGGGATCTGTTACCATCGACCACTGGTAGTCGCTTAGTTTATGTTGTCTGTTCTTCATGCATGAAATATCGTGATATCATTTTAGCTTTATAAGTGGAGGAAGTATAGACGATTAGACACGCAAGATTCTTCACAAAACATGATCAACAATTTGTCCAACTTTAGTTGTTGTTGTTTTTTAAGTTGGCCTGGTTGGGCATCCCTTGATTACTTCAGCATCATCATCATGCCTCTGGATTATACTAATCCGGTGAGGTACACTTGATAAAGTTACTCCAGTATGTCCTATCTCTCATAGCGGACACTAATGCAGTCCCTGCGAGAACAGTGTCTCTCTCTAACACGGACAAAAGTGTAGTATAAGGACGTCCCACTCTACGTCTCCCAGTAGGAAGCCACTGTGCTTTGATACTTAAAAGTAACAAAGGATGCCCAACCAGGCCTTGCTTGTGTCCATACTATGTTACTATGGAAGAATGTGTATATTTCAGGTGGTTACTGAGACCGTCACAGTTCAGTGGTACTACAACCACACCGCTGCAGATACTACATCTGCCAGCCTTCCCCCGTACCGGAGCTGGGGATACAGCACAGGGACGGATCCCGAGGTGGCTTCGGCGCACAATACGATGAAAATCCCAGTGAAGCCCGTACTTGGAGATAACCACACTCAGATCACTTCTCCAACAAATGATCCTGGCATTCCCACAGTGGATGAAGTTCGCCCACCTATTCAGGGGCCAACTGTATTTGGATGCAGCGTGCAGGAGGAAATTGACGGCGTGCCAGATATATTGAAGTCCTGGGCCTTCATGACGACAGATCAGCGCAACGTGTACCTCGCCATGGCGCGGCTTCGCATCAGGAAGCACTTCTACGAGATTCTCAACCGCGAGTTTGATCCTGAGATGCCAACAGCGCCTTACAAGATGACCCAGTCTGCTCCCGCCTCTAAGATGACCCAATCTGCGGTGAAGCCAGACACTTCTACTGAGGAGAAAACAAAGGGCGAGATGAAGAAGACGGAGACGACTGCAGAAGACAAACTGCAACTGGAGAACGCTACAGAAACGACAAAAAACACGACAAGCCACGAGGGGAAGCACCGCGTGTTCAGGCACATCCAGCGGGTCGAGACGGTAGCGCTCGCCGTGGTTGGCATGGTGGCAGCGGGGTCGGTGGCCTACTCCTGTACCCCACAGATCACTTAGAGAAAGGTCCACGCGTCTTCGTAACCGATATGGTTTTATGTTCTATGAGTTTGAGCTTCTTATGAAGTTATACTTTTAATGCAAAAAGAAACACCCCTGCCAAGATGACGACCCTACGTATACATCAGATAAAATTCACATTTCTTCCTTTGTATTTTGTCAGGTACCTAATTTTCTATTTTCTTTCTTGGCACTCTCGGTAAGGCCATGTTGATTTGATTATATGGATGACATCCGCGCGCGCATGAATTTTCGGCCGTTTCAAAAAAAAAAGTTTTTAACCATACTGTAAATCGTGTAAAACAGTTGCAAAATGAGCAAAAATATATCATAAGTTACAAAAAAAATTAATACAAACTATACCAATGTCGTAGAATGCCAAAATCAAACGAAGAAAGACGAAATTGTAAAGAAATGAACTTGAAGACTAGATTATTCGCCATAACATATTCTGTGCCATTTGTTCAACCTTCATGACCACGTAGATTTCATAGTGAAAGCAACTTTTTTTTTTGCAAAACTTTTTTTTTATTCGCACGCGCGCATCAGTTTTGGGGTTCCCAGAGGATGTCATCCATATAATCAAATCAATATGGCCTAATGGATTGGTGCATTTGAGATATTATTTATGTGCGTGTTTAGTGAGTTTTTGACTCGGCGTACTAGTAAGTCAAGTTACAGTGCATTATAACTTTGATTCATTTTTCTACTGAAGATATAAATGCCTGAGAAATGCTCCGTGACTTATTTTAATTGTTACGTACCAACGTCAATATTAAGATACAACTTCAGATATAGATCACATTTTATTGTTATATCTCGTTTTTTATGACTGGTCAGAACGTCTTGTGGAAAAAATCCTTTTTTTTCAACGCCACGCATCTTCTGTATATTAAAGAGAATTTTTTTGCGAAATATGAGTCAGTTTCATTCTGTTTTTTTAATATATTTGTTAACTAGAGAAGCAACATCTGCAAAGCAAATGCATAATGTTTACCTTCAGACATGGTCTGCTCTGTTAATTCTTACTCAAACACATTCACATACATGTACTACTAGTATATGGTGACAGGAGCAGAGCAGACCACGAAATTGCAACATTATGTAACCCAACACCAGTCACCATGGTGACAGACGTCAACAAATCATGTCATTGGTCAGGTCATAGGTCACTCTTTGGAGAAGAAGAAGAGGAAGAAACCCTCGGTAAACATAATGATATAACGTGCGAGAAATGAGTTTTAGATCAGTGTGAAGAACGTAGTGACTACTACTAGTGGTACTTGTTTCAACAGTTACGCCATCACTCCTACCTTAAGAAGGGGACTAATTGTTGTGCATTATAAGTGAAGTTATTTTGGAACACGTACTCTATTGAATATAGTGAGGGTACCTCATTGAACATAACGCTACTACATAGCAACAATACTCAGCATCAAAGACAAGTGTGTTTCGTGTTCGAATGCAGTTCAGTACGAAGGAAAGATGTATTTTCGGTGTTCGAATGGAGCTCCGTACAAAGGATGGACGTGTTTTGTGTTTAAAAATAGTTCAGCACCAAGGACAGGTGTGTAGAACCAACTTGCATTTTGAAAACACGGTTGCTGGCTCTGACGCTCTTTGTATCTCTACGTAAAACAAGGTTGCCAACATAGAGAATAACCTAATTCTTATCTTATCTTATATAAATACTGAGCCAAGGTCCCGCGATGGACATTATGCTCAGAATTAATTTTAATTGCCTAATCAAAATTTAGTTATTCTCTAATAACTACGGATAATTAGTAGATATCAATTTGTGCAAACGTACGTTTGTAGCTTTGACCATTATGCACATGAAATCATATTTTTATTTCAGTTACTTCTACCAAAGTGCTATATTATAGCTTTAAAGATAATTACATTTGGGGCAATGAAATGTGATGACGTCATCCATATGGTCCAAAAAACATATTCATAACCCTTTTGTACCCAGGTATCAATATTCAGTATAACTACAGTTCTTTCTAAATTTCTTTGTGAGAAAACGATGGAAAGTTAAAATGCCAAATTAGCCAGGGAGGACACCTTAAGGTACCTGACAAGATACAAAGGTTAAAATGAAGGGAGGAGATTGCCATAGGAAGGGAAGTAGGGATTGAATTACCACTTGTTTGCACCCACCAGTCTTCCAAAGTCATAGATAATGTGAACGAACGAAACATTTTACAAAATTGTTCAGAATACGTACTACTGTACTGTGCTCTATGTGTTCAGCCATTCGTTCAACCTTCCTTCCGAGTTATCTCTATTAGGCCACACCAAGTAAATTTTATGGATGACGTCCTTTGGAGACCCTAAATCTAATGCGAGAGGGCGAAAAAAAAAACAAGAAGGGCCCTAAAAAACAAGATGCCTAGATTAGAAATATACTAAGAGACGACAAATGTTAGGATGCAAATTGAATGAGGTGACACAGTGTAACAAGCAAGAAGTCTTTTATTCATCATCAAAACAGCAATAAATCAGGTGAAACAGCAGTTGTCGTCCTGTCCTGTTTCTTTCATCACGTACATTTTTGCAGGCTGCATTACGGGTTTCACGTCAATCTGACTATTTGCGGCACTGTCGTGACTCTTTGGTCAAAGTTACAGGATGCGGAATTTCTTGTTTTTTTTCTAGGAACAGGCCAAAATCAATGCGCGCGCGGACGTCATCCATAAAATTTACTTGGTGTGGCCTTATGAGACGTTCCTAAGCGCCTCCGTTTGTTAACGACAGAGTTAATCATGCTTATTATTTCAGGACTCTAAAACTCACTGTGGTACACTGGCTGTTATTACTCAGCGGAATGTATAGAACTGAAATAAAGAGGTCAACGAGTTGCTCAAAGTTTAACTCTCTAGGATATTTCCTTCCCCGGAGGTAAAAAAAAAACAAGTTATGATCTATGTCCTCTGAGCACCTGCGGGGAAGTGAAATGGTGTACATGTAACTCTTTGATCATTTGCATTCTTCCAGTTTGTCTTTGATATGAACTAACTGAACGTACAAACTGTTGCGGGCCGATTCGTGCATATGCAGCCGCGTTCTGATTAATTAGACTCACAGCAGACTTGCTTAGCTTAATAATACATCGCTACATCACATCGCTGCATACCGCGGCGGTTTTTAACCTCCACGACCGCGAGATACACACAACCTCTCGCTGCCGGGGCCGATCACGGATCAGTCAGCGGCTATAGGAGCGTCAGACTGGCGCACGGCATGGCGACAACACGCTGCCTTCAGTTTTTGTGCGTGACGCTGATGATCCTCTGTAACGACAAGACCGTGGCAGGTGACATCATCGGGGGGAGAGGAGGCCGCGGGTCCACAGACTGCGCTGCCGTGAAAATCAGGTGAGTTTTTATGGAGGAATGAGAACTAGCGCTCACTGAGTTGTATGGACTGTGTCTAGAAGCGAAACGGAGGAGAAACGATTCGTATTTGGTGGCTGATAATATACTTGGAGGGGGGGGGGCAATAGGCAAGGGAGGGAGAATGCCTGTGCGTGTGTGCGTGTGTGTATAGGCGTATGGATGTGTGTGTGTGTGTGTTGTGTGTGTGTTTGTGTGGTGTATGTGTATGTGTATGTGTGTGCGTATGTGTGTGTGTGTATGTGCGGTGTGGTGTGTGTGTGTGTGTGTGTGTGTGTCTGTGTGTGTGTGTGCGTGAGTATACCGGAAGGCAATAACCTACATGTTTTCCATTGTATCCAGTGTTCAGCACCAAGGACAGATCCAATTTCCCGTGCGCGTGTATCTTGTACATTTACTTTAGAATCTTCAAAATGCAAGCTGAGCACGGTAAACCAGGGAACACAAGCTTTATATATCATACTAGAAATGGCACAGAATGCATGAGATGTCCAGATTTCACTCTCTTTATATCCTGACACTCGTGCCATGTGTGTGTAACATGTGCATATGTATTTGTGTGTGGGGGATAAGTCTTCTTTACTTGGGCACTATTTCGTAAAGCAAGAAAATAAACTCGAATTTCCAGATTTTAGTTAACACTATTGACTGCCCCTGTAGGACCTGGACCTTTCATGCACCTGCGGGGTTTCCCACGGTGAGACACCTGCCGCAGCTCCGAGCCACCTGGAAGCACCTGGAACAGCAGCTGCAAACGGCTGAGGGGATGTTGGAACAGGTCGAGAGGCACCTGGGTTCTCCGGACATGTGGATCGGTAGGATAACTGACTGTTTATTTTCCTCAGGCTTGTGGCCCATATCGATAACAAAGTTTGTAAGATAACAAAACACACGAAGAATACTACCATGTCCTACCAGGGAGGTTCAATCGGAGTAATGCCGCCAGAAATGCCGTGGCCGGCAGAAAGCCATTAGAATAAAAATTGATATATATAGATGTTGTCATAACTTAGAAGTCGTGAAACAAACTAAGAGGTTCGTGTACAGTGTTTCTCATCAAAAGCGTCGCTACCGTTAATGGCAAATATAGTACTGGTGTTCCAACAGTGCCACATGTAGTTTGGCCATTGAACACATACTGTAGTTATATGTAGGCTTAGGTAAACGTTGTGCAAGATAGCCTGGTGCCCGGCCTTCTGGCTGGATACCAGGATAAGTACAAGACTTCGGTCATTTCAACCACTTCTAGTATTACGAGATTGATTAAAAACACCATGTTAAAGACATAGATATACTTTGTTACCAAATTTCAAGGTCAAAAGCGTATTTTTAATAGTTATTTCCTTGACAGGCCTAACTAGTTTATCACTAACGCCCTTCTTTATCAGGGAGAGTCGTTGGCGAACTGTTATGTGTTTTGTTATGTACAACTTGTGTTAGACAGTGTTGACGCATATTAAAACGCTGACGAACTGTTTGTTTTCAGATTGCTCGGCCATTTTCCACTCGTCGAACGGGACGGCCAGAAGCGGCGTGTACACCATCCGCCTGGCGGGGGCGAACCGATCCGTCCCCGTCTACTGTCGCATGGAGGGCGGGCAGGGCTGGACGGTCCTTATGCGGCGTCAGGACGGCTCCGTGGACTTCTACCGCACCTGGGAGGAGTACAAGATCGGCTTCGGCAACCTGTCCACGGAGTTCTGGCTCGGCAACGACAACATCCACCTGCTGACCAACCAGGCCAGGTACGGGCTGCGGGTGGATTTGGAGACGTTCGACGGAGAGTCGAGCTACGCCCAGTACCGGAGCTTCTCCGTCCAGGACGAGGCCTCCAAGTACAGGCTGACTCTCGGGAGATGGCTCAACGGGACCGCCCGCGACGCTCTCCGCGTCAGCAACAACTTCGCCTTCGCCACATGGGACAATGACACTGCTACCAAGACGGCCTTCAGGTTCAGGAGTGCGGGGTGGATGTACAATACATATTTCCCCAACCTACACGGCGTGTACTACACTCCGCAAACCGCGCCGACCAACACAAAATTGCCTCTTGATACCATCAGATGGTACATCAGGATAGATGATAAGGGCAATATTTACCCCTTACTGAAGTTTGTTGAGCTGAGGGTCGCACCTGAAGTTACATGAATGATGTTGACGATTTTTCTGTCAGGGCGTCGTGGTCACATTCGTGAGGTAGCCTTACAAGACCGAGTCGTGGATGTGTCGTACAAAACCCAACTGTCTTGTGACTGACGAACTTGCTGTAGATCCTTACCGACGACAGATTCTGTCTTAGTCCCGATGAAAATTCTACAACAAAAATAATCGTGCGACGAATGTGACCACGTCTGTACATTGTATAGCCACATTTCCACATGTTCAGAATGTTCCTAAAAATGACTTAAGATGTTGAATAGTTTTCTTCTCTTTTCTAAATTTCACTTATTGAAAAGTTATCTGGCCATACTATGTACTAATATCGATCTAGATGTTGTGGCAATGTTAAGCTACAGTGCTCCACTCCTCTGTAGTACAATATTGTTCATGATATACAAAGCAAGCGCTGTGGTAGACCAATCAGAAATATTTCCTTCACATCTTGCTTGATTGCTAACATACTTCATGATCCAATAATTACTGTTACATTCCGCAGCTCTCAGACATAGTGATTTCCGTTCATGAATATAATGAGCACAGAAACCTGCTTAGAAGTTGCCATCGGGTGTTTTCCGTGGTATGCAGGCCGACATGAAAGGGCCGGGGGAGTGCTGACTGTCGGGGAAGTGTTGTAACGGGTGCGTTTACATGGTACTATGTACAGTCAGTGCAACGCTGATATTAATAAAGAAAAACGATATGTTTACTGTAAGTTTTGTCTTTATGAGTTTGTTTGTGTGTGTGTGTGTGTGTGTGTGTGTGTGTGTGTGTGTGTGTGTGTGTGTGTGTGTGTGTGTGTGTGTGTGTGTGTGTGTGTGTGTGTGTGTGTGTGTGTTTGTAAATAAGGTTACTAAAGAAGGCTTGGATGGATTGTGTATGTCAATATTTGGTAGGTGGATAGGTTTGATGACACTTCAAAATGATTACATTTTGGGCCCCCTGGCGAATTGTTATGGTACTTCAACGGATTAATTATCTTGAAAGGTTTACATGAATCAAAGATGGCTGGAACCTTTCTGCAAATTCACCAGGGCTTCTCAACAGCACAAATGGGTAGTGATTAATTAGTCAGTACGGTTAGCATACAAGAAGGGGTGTATTATATAATAACGCAGAAATACAACAAATTTCAGGCACAATTACTGGCATTTTGGTGGCAAGTGTTGACAGTCTAAGGTCAACACTTACAATGTAGTACACGTAGCTGCCCATGATGGTACGACAAGCTCTTTTCTACAATTGGTCTGGTTGAGATGACTATAGACATATACAAGGACAGGTCACTACTGACTAAATCACTACCCCTCTTGTGAATCTGTTAAATTCCTGTTGAATACAGGAATAAAGAAGAAATTTATTGAACGACAAGGATACATGGTACAATCATTATGTCCTTGGTAAAATATATGGCAAAAATAAGTCAAAGCCCAAACCTCTGCTTGGAGAGTAAGGCTAGATCAAAATACGATATAACGACATCACACGGGTCAGCCAAGCAGGTTCGAGTTGCTATTAGTACCACAAACTATTTCTGAAGTTGGCTTCTAACTCCATGCTTGTAGTTAGTTTGGGACGTGCCCGTGTAGCAACAATGCAGACACCAACTAGAAAAGTAACATTTGCAAAGCAAAATGCATAATGTTTACCTTCGCATAGGCTCTGTTAATTCTTACACACATTCACGTATATGATGTCAGGAGTCTAAATCCCTCCTACTGTGAAATTGCAACATGATGTAACCTAACACCAGTTATCATGGTGACAGACAGTGTGGTTCCGTCAGGTCAGAGGTCACTGTTTGGAGAAGAAGAAGACGAAACGTAGCAAAAACAATATGTTTTCCTTCGGTAAACATAATGAGGCCACTTAGCGACCTCTAGCGAAAGGGAATAAAGCTGCACCAACTTCCTAAACTGATTTAGAGCTGAGTACAGCCTGAGTACAGGGATATACCAAGTCTCTATTGAAGTGCATGTACTTGTAAGCATAGCTGTGATTTCAATTTGCCTGTAATTACGGTCCAGATGTACTTAAAAATGTTTTCTATATTACAAAAAGAATTACCGCCGTTGCTCTTGAAAGGTAATATTCGAAAAACCATTACATGTATCATGACAAAAATAAATATACCATTATATAGAATTACAGGCATCAGCATACAGATAAAGACAGGTGAACCATGATTTAGCGTCCTATGACAGGTCGATAATTATATTGACCTCTCAAAAGTCTAATGTCTCGACCCTGGGTGTTTTGAAAATATACAGCTTGAGACTTTTACTTTAAAAAGTAGCCACCATCAATTCGTTCTATCACATCAGTTGTCATTGGTTGTGTTGAATAACGATATACTATAATCGCCAATGGTGAAAGGCGATTTCTAGATCTCAGAAAATTTTCCGACCGATCTCAGATGATTTTCTCTTCGTTTGAGGCACATCCAAACATGTTATCCCCCCTGTTAGGCCACACCAAGTAAATTTTATGGATGACGTCCGCGCGCGCATTGATTTTGGCCTGTTCCTAGAAAAAAAAACAAGAAATTCCGCTTCCTGTAACTATGACCAAAGAGTCACGACAGTGCCACAAATCGTCAGATTGACGTGAAACCCGTAACGCGAGAACAGGACAGGACGACAACTGCTGTTCCACCTGATTTTATTGCTGTTTTCATGATGAATAAAAGACTTCTTGCTTGTTACACTGTGTCACCTCATTCAATTTGTGTCCTAACATTTGTCGTCTCTTAGTATATTTCTAATCTAGGCATCTTGTTTTTTAGGGCCCTTCTTGTTTTTTTCGCCCTCTCGCATTAGGTTTAGGGTCTCCAAAGGACGTCATCCATAAAATTTACTTGGTGTGGCCTTAGCATAAACCCAGCCGCACATTCGACTCCACGCGACGAAACCCTACACTTCTACCCTACACGGTGGTGGTAAGTCTAGACCCCTCCCCTTTCAGCCCGGGGAGCACCGCTATGTTTACCCAACCTTTGTGGAGGCCAGGATAAATCGGCCGGATCGAATGATCGTGCCGGTGCGGTTGTCACAACATAAGGAGCCGACTGCAGACTCCCTCCCACTGTGCCAGGAAAAAAATGGACACGAAGGAGCAAGATTTTACCTGACGACAAGACAGCGAGGGATTCAGCGATAGGTCAGTTCTATAGCAACGTTTCGTGTTGAAGATATTGTGAAATCTTATGTTCTTCACATTTTTGTAGATATCTAAGGACTGGAGTAAAGAATGCCATGTTTTCCACACGACTTGCCCCATACCAACATGTGGAGTGCGGTTGAAAGCAGTCTGCTAAAGGAGTAGCATGGTTTTCTTCTTAGAAGTTGTGTAAGAAATGGGATCGATTTTTCTGTCTTTTAAGACAAGAAGGCCAAGGCAAGCTTGGTCAAGCCTACGTGTCTTAAGAAACAAATCCCCCAGACGATAAGAAACAATACGGCCGTGGCTTTGTAACTAAGTGGTTACCTCGCACAAAGTCCGAAGACTTTAAACATGGACTTATAGATGGGTAAACAATTGTTGATCCTAACAAAAGGTGTCTAGAACGAGAAGGATTCTGAACGCAACTTAAAGCTAGCCGTTATTTCTGAAGATAGTTATCTAAATGCTACAGTTTGCTGTAGCCTCATTGTTTCCAATTGATTTATATATTCGGTTTTTAAGGAGTTTGCAATAGTCTTTGTTGACTGAACTTTGGCGTTGGCAACTGCAGACGGTGTTCGCTATGTTCAATATACTTAAGAATCACGTCTGACAAATATATAACTACCTTGACATTTGCTTGTTCGCATACAAAATGGTGTAGGATTATATAATATTGGACAGAATATTCTCCAAATTTTACAAACGTAATATGAAGCTATGACATCACAACCGACAATGTAAATTGTTGCATATAAGATGGCAAACCTTAACATTTTCCCAGCACAATACCTCAAAATTGTAGATATATTTACGGGTACAGTGTCTTAAATTTGTTATCAAAGAAGATAGGTTTATTGTATTGGGTAGAGAGTGTGCGTATACGGTTCGTATGGCATACCTTTTCTTGCTGTTGATTCAGTTAGTCTGATTAGTCTCTACCAGACTAACTACGCTGGCTATATATAGGAGAATATATGCCGGGGGAGTTTGGCCGCCTTTTGGTTTGAACGAAACTACCTCCCCGCGGCCGGACTCCCTTGGCCAATTTGATTCTCTTTTTTGCTGACTTCCACGATCCGTATTCCCGTAGAAAGGCCTGGTGGAGGTTATAGTCTGATAGTGACCTTAATTTGCCCGTCTTAACAGGGTCTTAGATGTCTGTAAGACTTAAGGTAAATTTACATACACCAGTTCTCACACAATAATGACATAACGTTAACACGGATTAACACAGAAATCCCACTTCGTAATCTTCTCCTCTTGGATTACTTGGGATTTCTCCTGCTTTGGATATAGGGTTAAAATGGCACAACTAAAGAACTTAAGATGCACACAAAGCAACAGGTGTTTAAAGGCGATCCCTCTTAAAGGAAGACCTTAAATCAATCAGATGAAAGCGAGAGAAAGTACCAGAGCACCCCTCTACTATTAGTAACCTCACGTTGAAAAGCTCTCAGAGATCAGACCACATTTTACACTCCAAGTTTCAAGTGTTTTGCGCCAGGTTTTTAGATCGATACATATTGAGCTACTGTTATAGAGTTGTGAACCGGTGCAGTCTGTCACAAGTACCTGTAGTAGCTGTGTGTTTAAAAGCTCACCGGGTGTTTGAGTAAACCACGGGCACTTAAAAATCGACAAACGGGGCAATGGGGTCAACATCGGTTGGTAAATAAGACTGCGCGGTCACAAACAACAAGTACAACTTCAGAACCGGACCTGAATGTAACACTCGGAAGGCATGCCAATGAAGACACTATCTAGAAAACTCTCCCCTTTATCATATCTTGAAAACGTTTGATATTTTGTGGTGTGGTGTGTTATAACATGGTGTGACATAATTTACAAAGGAAACATTGATAGTTAGATACGATAAATCTCGTTGCAAAGTTGTATTGCATGATCCCCAAGCAGATTTATCGGTCGGGTTTATTTTGAGGATCTTTATGACCTTTTATGTGTTTCTATCCGTCTCTAGTGGTTTTAAAACGCAGACTAGTAGAGATAGAGACTTGAAAACGTAGGAAAAGCCACAGAAGACCAATAATACAAGCTCGTCCAACAGATACATCTATAGTAGTCGAATCTGTAGCCCTCCCCCATGTCTCTGAATTGCACCCTAACGCCCATACACCTTGGTTTGTTTCGGTCAGACGACAACCCTCTGTTCTCAGTACAATGTAGAGCTTCTCTCTTACATGCGTGTATTTCATGTCAAGTGAACCACAGAATGGAAACAAACCGGCCCACTGACGGCAAACACGCGCAACTTTCCCACCCCGGCGGCACGGGTCTTTCCACGCAAGCGTCAGAAATGTTACAATGTTTTGCGTAGTTCTTATTTTTCTCCACCAAGGCTCAGTCCTCACTCGTCCAAGCATATAAGTTAGTGTTTTGGGAACAGGTGAGAAGCGTTGTTGACGAAACATGCGAGGTAGAATCAGAAACTTGTATTTTGGAAACAGTCGGTCTCGTGGTGGTATTGTTTCTCTGTGAACCTCATACAAAAGGTCTGACAGGAAAGTTAGCTTCCGGTTTGAGTCTTACATTCGAGTTGCAGTACATATACTTCGCTCTGAATCTACCCGTTGATAAGTCCATACATTGATAGCACAGTATTACGATGTATCTTACTCTTATCTTGCTTTTAAAACTTTCTTGTTGTTCTCGCCGCAGTAGCTTACTTGCCAATGACTTCTGGATACTTAAATAATTCATAGTACACTTTTTCCTTTCGTCATTTGGTTTTTCTCAATCATTGCATATTACGTGAACAATATATCGACAGAAGGACCCAAAATAACTCACGGAAGTATTGTCATTGGATGGGACACTATCTTTGATCACGCCATTACATGCTTACAATTCAAGGCAATTTAGGAAATATCAGTATACATTAAAGTGGTTTCGTTTACTGTGATGACCTACATTCCTTTTCAACTCAATGTATTTGTGTTTCAAATCACGCTCGTTGTTTCCTGCAGCCGACAAGCTAGCCGTATTGTTTTAACCACCAAGATGGCAACTATGATGCTTTATTGGTGAGATGCAATGCTCTATTGATTGACAGGTCGACAGACGATAAACTTGTTGCTATGGAGATAGCGAGCCATCCCCGAACAAGTGACTATCTGTGCTCGGCACTTAGTAGTAAACTGGGCTAGGGGTAATAATACGGTTGTTACAGGTGGCCTCTATTGTTCAGGAAAGGTGTCATTTGAAAAGGTTTTGTCTCTTCAATAGCGTCGGAATCTCACAAACAATGACGGAAATTTATCTGTTTAGATATACTCGCTGGGTTGGCCTAGAAAATACAGAACATCCTACACTTAAGTGTCCTTTCCCCAGTCTTCCTTTTAAACATGAAGCGCTGGCACTGATCAGCTATGGATGAAAACTGCAACGAGGACGTAGAAGGTCTGTAATATTCCATGTTTGACGATCAGTTTTTCTTCGAGGAACGTAAAAATTTTATAGACTTTTTTGTGCTTTGGAGTTTGATAGATTGAAGTGGAAATGTCCTTGACCAAACCTATTTTAGCCCCCGAGTCCTACATCCTCAAATCCTCTCGCTATTTGCAAAGAAGATGTACATGTAGGACTCGGAAGCTAAGATAGGTTTGGTAACCAGGCTAGCATGAGTAGACTAAGCACTATACCCCTTTAGGCCACAAGCCGTTTGTTTGTGAAAACAGCACGCACCGCAAATGTACTGTTAATGTTGTTTGGGAGGGAAGGCCTTTCAGGAACCCGCCACTTAAAGACAAAAATGCGTAAAACACCCAACAGGTGATGACACAACTTCAACGAGACGCTTGAGGTTTTTTCTTCAACCACAAGCTGTCAAACGTGTCTCTGAGGGCGGATACGTGATTTTTCATGTTCGTAAAACCAGCTAGTGAGCCCACGATTGCGTTAACTGCTGTTTATTTGCCAAAGATGTTCAGGAAATCCCTCTGTTGTTCTACATCAGACGAATTCTATCGTCTACGACAAGTTTCCCTGGTTTCACACGATTCAACCCTGCCACCTGTACCAGACTCTGTGGACAGAAACTTAGACGGTGTGTGCTCAGGGTATTAATGGCCTAGACTTATCGTTTTTCTGATCTGCGAATAATTTCTGACGCACTGGCAGAAGATTTGCAGATATCGTGTCAGCTACAAAAGGATCGCAAACTCTTGTCAGATATGCAGGACGACTTTGTGTTCACTTTGTATGGAGTTAGCCTGGGTGTCATCCCCAGTAGTATATTCGCCAGCTCTATAACCAGTTATAGAGCTGGCGAATATACTACTGGGGATGGCACCCAGGCTAGTATGGAGTAGGCGTACGAGGTAATCTTGCGGTTGAAAATCGTTACAGAAATTTTAACAGGTGGGTCATAAAATGTGTTTTTGATTCTCTGATTTTTTGTTCAGGGTTCGCCACAGATGTCGCTACCAGTCGGTTAGAGGGAAGCACGGTGTCAACTACTGTGGGGAGACTGTGGTCACCCAGCATGGCGACTACCACTGCAGCCAAGTCCGGGCGGTCCGCTAGTCCGAAAATGATGCGGAGTAGGATATCACCTTTCTCCAAACTTCTCAACCAGGTCAGTACGACAACAACAACAACAACAACAACAATATAACAACAACAGTGACATCTTATGCTTGTTTTGCAACAAAACGGTAAAACATAAAAATCGAAATACATGTGTACTAGTTATTAACGCATAGATCTAGGAACCACTTCAACTTTTAACAAAATGTTGAATGCCGTGGCGTGTATGAAATGACTAAAAAGAATCGCGGCCAAAAAAGTATTAATAGTCATTTCAAAGATCGTCAATAAGGTAGGTACGAACCAAATATGGGGAGGTTTTCACTGTCTTCAAATTGTGATTGAAAACAATTCAGAAGTACAGTACTAGTAGTCATACAGTTCGTGGCACTTGTTCTCTACATTTGCAACGTTGAGTATAGAATGAGAAAAAAATTGTTTCTGTCGATGAAGGTTAGACATCCAGGTAATGAGATACACAAAATCTATCCAGTTGTTTGAGTAACAATTTTCTGGCGATCCCGCACAAATGTTCGACGAACTCTTCAGGCTTTTCAGGGTAAAATGAATGTATTCTCCTCATTGGTGGTCTGGCCGCTTGTATATATTTTTTATCTGTTGTATCTCAGTTTCCATTACAAGCGTGCGAAATGCGTGCCGATTAGTTTTACGCACACACACACACACACAACCAAGTATGGGGAGGTTTTCACTGTGTCTTAAATTTGCGATTGAAAACAATTCAGAAGTACAGTACTAGTAGTCGTGGCACTTGTTCTCTGCATTTGCAACGTTGAGTATAGATGTGAAAAAATGTTTCTTTCGATGAAGGTTAGACATCCAAGTAATGAGATACACAAAATCTATCCAGTTGTTTGAGTAACAATTTTCTGGTGTTTTTTTTCTTCTGTTTTTCCCAGGTGGCCACGGGGTTGCGTCAGTCTGCAGACGACTTTTCTCAGGTCAAACTGATGCTTCAGATCGACGGCCATCTTCCCGCTGACGTCATCGAAAACATGCGCGATCCCGCACAAATGTTCGACGAACTCTTCAAGCTTTTCAAGGTACAATGAATGTATTTTCCTTATTGGTGGCTTGGCCTTGGTATATTTTTTGTCTTTTCAAGGACATAATACATATGTATAATGTCCTTGGTCTTTTGTATCTCAGTTTCCATTACAAGCGTGCGAAATGCATGCACACGTTTTACGCACACACACACACACACACATAAACACACAAACACGCACATGCACACACACACACACACACACACACACA